TTTCACCATGTTGGCTAGGCTGGTCTCGAACTCCTGACCTCAGGTGATCCACCTGCCTCGGCCTCCCAAAGTACTGGAATCACAGGCGTGAGCCACCATGCCCTGCTGTAACCATTTTGTCTTCAAGTACATGGAAATGTTTTCTAGTCCAAAATGAATGGGTATCGGCTGGGCTCAGTGGCTCATGCCTGTAATCCCAGCACTTTGGAAAGCTGAGGCAGGTGGATCACCTGTGGTCAGGAGTTCGAGACCAGCCTGGCCAACATGGTGAAACTCCCATCTCTACTAAAAATACAAAAATTAGCCAGGCATAGTGGCGGGTGCCTGTAATCCCAGCTACTCGGGAGGCTGAGGCAGGAGAATCGCTTGAACCCAGGAGGAGGAGGTTGCAGTGAGCCGAGATCGCGCCATTGCACTCCAGCCTGGGGGACAGAGTGAGACTCTGTCTCAAAATACAAAAACAAAAACAAAAAGAAACAAAATGAATGAGTGCGACCCGAATTCCCATCTATGTCTGTATAGGTGTATAGATACCTCTAAGCTGTGGCTTCCAGTCCCCGTCACCCACGAGGTGACATTCTTCCACCCCCAATGTGGCACTCTTCCTCTCTGTGCCTTAGTTTCCCCATCTGTACAACGGGAGGGTAACCCCATCCCACCAGTGGGCGCACGGGACATGATCATGTCCCTCCAGGGATGACATACCTTCCCTTCCACTGCAGGGCGGGCAGCTGGCCCCGAGCACAAGGGCCAGGAGAAGCGGCGGGGTCATGACTGTGGCCAGCTCTGCTCTCAGCAGCTGGGGTGGGGACATCCTGGGAGGCTTGAAGGGGGAGGCGAGGACTTGGGACGTGCCCCGGGGAAGCCCAGCCCAGGGTCAAGGCCCCCCTTCGCCTTCCTTCCATCTGACTCACTGGCAGGGCTCGTGGGGCCGCTAGGGAGATGAGTTAGGATTCGGGGGAGCCCCAGTCCCAGCCCCCTGGGGAATGCAGGCCACCCCTGTGTGGAAGGCCCCGGAGGGTGGGGGAGGCAGGGGAGGAGGCTGCGAAAGGGAGAAGTGGAGACCTGCTGGCTTTTCCCAGCACAGCAAGTCCTGCCTGCCTTCCTTCCGCTGTCCTGAAAGGGGAAACCCCAGGCAGGCAGGCAGGGGCTGGGGGCGTGGTGGGAGACAGAGATACAGAGAGAGGAGGGAGGCAGAGAGCAGAGAATACAGAGATAGAGAGACAGGGAGATGACAGAGACAGACAGAGAGACAGGGAGAGATACAGATGACAGGAGGACACAGAGACAGGGAGATGACAGAGACAGACACAGAGAGAGATACAGATGACAGGAGGAGGACACAGAGAGACAGGGAGATGACAGAGACAGACACAGAGAGACAGAAAGAGACACAGATGACAGGAGGAGGACACAGAGAGACAGGGAGATGACAGAGACAGACACAGAGAGACAGAGAGAGATACAGATGACAGAGGCAGAGACACAGATGACAGGAGGAGGACACAGAGAGACAGGGAGATGACAGAGACAGACAGAGAGACAGGGAGAGATACAGATGACAGGAGGAGGACACAGAGACAGGGAGATGACAGAGACAGACACAGAGAGAGATACAGATGACAGGAGGAGGACACAGAGAGACAGGGAGATGACAGAGACAGACACAGAGAGACAGAGAGAGACACAGATGACAGGAGAAGGACACAGAGAGACAGGGAGACGACAGCGACAGACACAGAGAGACACAGATGACAGGAGGAGGACACAGAGAGACAGGGAGACGACAGCGACAGACACAGAGAGACACAGATGACAGGAGGAGGACACAGAGAGACAGGGAGACGACAGAGACAGACACAGAGACACAGATGACAGGAGGAGGACACAGAGAGACAGGGAGACGACAGAGACAGACACAGAGACACAGATGACAGGAGGAGGACACAGAGAGATAGGGAGACGACAGAGACAGACACAGAGACACAGATGACAGGAGGAGGACACAGAGAGACAGGGAGACAACAGAGACAGACACAGAGAGACACAGATGACAGGAGGAGGACACAGAGAGACAGGGAGATGACAGAGACAGACAGACACAGAGAGACACAGATGACAGGAGGAGGACACAGAGAGACAGGGAGATGACAGAGACAGACAGAGACACAGAGAGACACAGATGACAGGAGGAGGACACAGAGAGACAGGGAGATGACAGAGACAGACACAGAGAGACAGAGAGAGATACAGATGAGAGAGGCAGAGACACAGATGACAGGAGGAGGACACAGACAGGGAGATGACAGAGACAGACAGAGACACAGAGAGAGATACAGATGACAGGAGGAGGACACAGAGACAGGGAGATGACAGAGACAGAGATAGAGACAGGGAGATAACAGACAGAGACACATAGAGAGACACAGAGATGAGAGGCAGAGAGACAGAAACGAGAGGAGGAGGACACACAGAGAGAGACAGGGAGATGATGAAAACAGAGACAGAGAGAGACACACAGAGAGGGACAGGCTAAGAGACAGAGGAACAGAGATAAGAGAGGAAGACGGAGAAAGTGGGACAGAGATGGGAGGATGAGACAGAGAGACAGAGATGAGAGAGGAGGATAGACAGAGATACAGCAGGGTGCGGGGGCTCATGCCTATAATACCGGCACTTTGGGAGGCCGAGGCAGATCATCTGAGGTCAGGAGTTCGAGACACACCTGGCCAGCATGGTGAAAATTCACCATTAGCTGGGCGTGGTGGCAGATGCCTGTAATCCCAGCTGAGGCTGAGGCAAGAGAATTGCTTGACCCTGGGAGGCAAAGGTTGCAGTAAGCTAAGATCATGCCATTGCGCTCCAGCCTGGGTGATAGGGTGAGACTATGGAGGCCGAGGCGGGTGAATCACGAGGTCAAGAGATCGAGACCATCCTGGTCAACATGGTGAAACCCCGTCTCTACTAAAAATACAAAAATTAGCTGGACACGGTGGCCCGTGCCTGTAATCCCAGCTACTCGGGAGGCTGAGGCAGGAGAATTGCTTGAACCCAGGAGGCGGAGGTTGCGGTGAGCCGAGATCCCGCCATTGCACTCCAGCCTGGGTAACAAGAGCTAAACTCCATATCAAAAAAAAAAAAAAAAAAAAAAGACAGATGGGGAGATGACAGAGACAGAGAAAGAGAGACACATAAAGAGATTAAAAACAAGAGAGAAAGAGAGATACAGGGAGATGAGAGATAAGAGAAGACAGAGATAGAGAGATAAGATAGAGATGGAGCAAAAAAGAGACACAGAGAGATAGAGAAGGAAAGCACAAACAGATACAGGGAGACAGAGACGGAGACCAGGAGATAGAGACAGAGAAAGAATGAAGAGACAGAGACATGGAGAGAGAGACACAGACACAGACACAGGCCTGGGGAGGCAGCTGCCACCACACATGTCCCAGCCATCGGGGTGCCTGGGAGCAAGGAAACCCCCAGAGGCAGGCTGGACAAGCTTGGGGATCCCCGCTCCCACTCCCACCTCCCCTTCATTTGCTGAGAAATGCCAAGAAACCCATGGGGATTTTAGGGGATTTGCCAAGGGGCAGGGAGAGGCTGGAGGCAGGGGCCTCCCACCATGGCCAGGCTTAGGATTTAGGAAAGTGTCTTTCTCTTTTTTTCCTTTTTTAGAGGCAGGGTCTTGTGCCCCGTTGCCCAGGCTGGAGTGCAGTGGTGCGATCATGGCTCACTGCAGCCTCTAACTGCTGGGCTCAAGTGATCCTCCCTCCTCAGCCTCCTGAGTAGCTGGGACCACAGGTGCGTGCCACCATGCCCAGCTAATTTCTGTATTTTTGGTAGAGACGGGGTTTCTCCATGTTGCCCAGGCTGGTCTTCAACTCTTGGGCTCAAGCGATCCTCCCACCTTGGCTTCCCAAAATGTTGGGGTTACAGGGGTGAGCCACCGTGTCCAGCTGATCCTGCCATTCTTTAACATTTCCATATTTAGTTCATCATGCACTTTTTTTGCACCCATTTTGCCTTTTTGAAATGTTGCATTAAGATGGAGTTTATCCAAGGCCGGGCACAGTGGCTCACGCCTGTAATCCCAGCCCTCTGGGAGGCCGAGGTGGGTGGATCACCTGAAGTCAGGAGTTAGAGACCAACTGGCCAACATGGTTAAAACCCCGTCTCCACTAAAAATACAAAAATGAGTCAGGCATGGTGGCGCATGCCTGTAATCCCAGCTACTCGTGAGGCTGAGGCAGCAGGATCATCTGAAACCGGAAACCGGGAGCAGAGGTTGCAGTGAGCCGAGATTGTGCCACTGCACTGCAGCCTGTGGACAAGAGCAAAACTCCGTCTCAAAAAAAAGAAAATGAAATACAGGCTGGGTGATGTGGCTCACACCTGTCATCCCAGCACTGTGGGAGGCCGAGGCACGCGGATCACCTGAGGCCAGGAGTTCGAGACCAGCCTGGCCAACATGGTGAAACCCCATCTCTACTAAAAATGCAAAAAAAAAACTAGCCAGGTGTGGTGGCAGGTGCCTATAATGCCAGCTACTTGGGAGGCTGAGGCAGGTACTTGGGAGGCTGAGGCAGGAGAATTGCTTGAGCCGGGGAGGTGGAGGCTGCAGTGAGCCAATATCTAGTCACTGAACTCTAACCTGGACAACAAGAGCAAAACTTTATTTCAAAAAAAAAAAAAAAAAAAAAAATTAGCCAGGCATGGTGCTGGGCACCTGTAGTCCCAGCTACTCGGGAGGCTGAGGCAGGAGAATCACGGGAACCCGGGCGGCAGAGGTTGTAGTCAGCCAAGATTGTGTACCGCCGCACTCCAGCCTGGGTGACAGAGCGAGACTCCACATTTAAAAAAAAAAAAAAAGGGTTGAGTTTGTCCTGATGGCTGATTTGCTGGGTGGGGCAGAGGGAGGGGGCATGAATGCTTCCTTTTCTGGGCCACCCCTTCCCCTCCCAGCAGCAGAAGCCCAGCAACCACACCACACGCCTTGGTCCTGTGCACACAATGCCTTTATTCCTGGGCTGGCGTCTGGATGTGGAGGACACAGGGACTCACAGATTCTCTGGTGGAAGAGGAGGGCAGTCACGCCCTGGGTCCAGACTGACCAGTGTGTGCGTGCAGAGACCAGGTGGGGCGATGGAGGCAGCTGGGGACGCTGGGGCAGGGACCCAGGCTGGCCTCCAAGTGCATAGGCCTGGATGGGGCTGGGTGAAGCCAAGTGAAGTGGGTCTGCAAGGGGACTGCAGTGGGGCGAGGTCCTGCGTGGGTGTGCTGTGTGGCCACTGGGCGCGGCCTTTCTCAGCGGCCCTGAGCCTGGAGTCTCTGCATCTGCAGAATCTGGCTGAGAATCTGCTGCACCTCTTCATCCATCTGGCCCTAGGATGGGGAATAGAGGGAGACCCTGAGTGCACCCCCAGTGGCTTCCCCAGGCCCCTCTGCCACTCCCACAGACCAAGCCAGCCAGGAGGGAAATGCTCAGATGCAGGCTCCAACATGCCATGAACCGCTCCCTGGGACCAGCCTCCCACTGTACAGAAGGGGAAACTGAGGCCAAGAGAGCAACAATGGCACACCCAAAGCCACACAGGCACCTGGGAGCTAGGCCACTCACCTGAATGGCGTACAGGAGGTGGCTTCTGTACAAAGCCACCACACTGGAGTGGTCCCTGGCAGCTTCCTGTGGGTATGAGGGAGGGACACTCAGAAAAGCAGGACCACCTCCCCGCTGAGGAAGACACACCAAAAAGCGCCCTTTGTACCCCAAGCCTGTATTTTGATGGCATACACCAGGCGATGGCAGGCTGCTAAAATATGGAAATATGGCTGGGCACAGTGGCACATATTTGTAATCCCAACACTTTGAGAGGCTGGGGGGAGCCCAGGAGTTCGAGACCTGGCCAACATGGCGAAAACCCATCTCTACTAAAAATACAAAAATTAGCCCAGTTTGGTAGTGTGTGCCTGTAATTCCAGCTACACAGGACACTAAGGCAGGAGAATTGCTTGAACCTGGAAGGCGGAGGCTGCAGAGGCTGCAGTGAGCCAAGATCTTCCCACTGCACTCCAGCCTGGGTGAGGGAGTGAGACCCTGTCTCAAAAAAAAATAAAGAAAATATTTCCTGGCCACGCTGGGCACGTGACGTGTGCCCCACCTGCTTACCCCAGCCCTCTCCTGGGATTCCCGCCTGTGCCAAGCTGGTTGGTAAATATTTATCTGGACTCCTCTGCCCTGACGGTCCTCTGCCCCTGCCCGGCCCAGCTCTTACCTGCAGCTGCCGCTGTAAACCCTTCACCTGGTCACGGAGAGCCTCCACCTCAGGGGGGGCCAGGGCAGCCGGCTGCTCCTTCAAGGCCTCCTTAAGACTGAAGACTTCTTTGGAGAGTTCTGTGATCTGAGGGTGGGGGGGTTGTCAGTGGTCACCCTCAGCCCAGGGCTGGGGGTAGGGACCTCTCTGAAGCCGCAGGAAGAGGCCAGGGAGGAAGGCTTTCAAGGGAAGGTCCCATCTCTTGGGTTAGCAAACTCTGGCCTGAGGGTCATGCCTGGCCCACAGCCTGTTTTCTGTTTTTATTTTTATTTTTTTGAGACGGAGTTTCGCTCTTGTTACCCAGGCTGGAGTGAAATAGCGTGATCACGGCTCACCGCAACCTCCGCCTCCTGGGTTCAGGCAATTCTCCTGCCTCAGCCTCCCGAGTAGCTGGGATTACAGGCACGCACCACCATGCCCAGATAATTTTTTGTATTTTTAGTAGAGATGGGGTTTCACCATGTTGACCAGGATGGTCTCCATCTCTTGACCTCGTGATCCACCCGCCTCAGCCTCCCATATTTTTATTTTTTTAAATAGAGACGGGGTTTCTCCATGTTGGTCAGACTGGTCTTGAACTCCCGACCTCAGGTGACGCACCCACGTCGGCCTCCCAAAGTGCTGGGATGACAGGTGTGAGTCACCACATCTCTTAAAGCTTCAGTGAGCTCATCTGGAAGATGGGGACTTTCTGAAACCAGGTGTGGTGGCTCACACCTGTCTTCCTACTATTTTGGAAGGCTGAGGCAGGCAGATCGCTTGAGCTCAGGAGTTTGAGACCAACCTGGGCAATATGACGAAACCCCGTCTCTTAGAAACAAAAACGAAAACAAACAAACAAAAAACAGGCCAGGTGTGATGGCTGACGCCTGTAATTCCAGCACTTCGGGAGATCAAATCACCTCAGGTTGGGAGTTCGAGACCAGACTGACCAACATGATGAAACCCCGTCTTTACTAAAAATACAAAAATTAGCCAGGCATGGTAGTGCAATCCTGTAATCCCAGCTACTTGGGAGACTGAGGCAGAAGAATCCCTTGAACCCGGGAGGTGAGGTAGCAGTGAGCCAAGATTGCGCCAGTGCACTCCAGCCTGGGTGACAGAATGAGACTCTGTCTCAAATAAACTTATAATTAGTAGCTGGAACAGCAGTCTGTGTGAGTTTAATTTGTCAGAGGCTGAAACCAGGTCCCCTTCCGTTTCTGAGCCTCACTTTCCCTTCCGGAAAATGGGCTGATTTCCCAAGACCCTTGCAGCGGGGACCTTTGTAGATTGCCCTCAACCTTGGCTGAGTGGACGCCTCCCGGACTGAGTGTGGGAGAGGGGGTACCCACCTTCTTGTCCTTCTCCTTGGCCTTGTCCAGGGCCTCCTGGGCCCGGCTCTGGGCCTGGCGTGCTCTTTCTGCCTCGGCCCGCAGCCCCCGTAGCTGCTGCTCTGCTGTGGCCAGCTGCGCCTCCGCCGCGTGTCGCTCACTCTTCATGAACAGGGCCTCACGCTGCACCTGTGGCCCAAGCCCCCGTGTGACTCTCAGGACACCCAACGATGCTGGATCCCAGAATACTTATGACCCTTCTATTTTGTTCTTTTGTTTTGGGATTTTTTTTTAAGGCAGGGTCTTGCTCTGTTGTTCTGATGTGATCATGGCTCACTGTAGCCTCAACCTCCCAGGCTCAAGCAATCCTCCCACCTCAGCCTCCCAAGTAGCTGGGACCACAGGTGCATGCCCGGCTAATGTTTTCCTTTTCTTTTTCTGAGACCGAGTCTCGCTCTGTTGCCCAGGCTGGAAGCAGCAGCATAGTCTTGGCTCATTGCAACCTCCTCTTCCCGGGTTCAAGCAATTCTCCTGCCTCAGCCTCCTGAGTAAGTGGGAGTACAGCCACGTGCATGATGCCTAAGTTTTATATTTTTGGTAGAGACAGGGTTTCCCCATGTTGTCCAGGCTGGTCTTGAACTCCTGACCTCAGGTGATCCGCCTGCCTAAGCCTCCCAAAGTGCTGGGATCACAGGCATGAGCCTCCATGCCTGGCCCACTTTCTTGCATTTTTGGTAGAGATGAGGTTTTGCCACATTGCCCATGCTGGTTTTGAACTCCTCGGCTAATGTGATCTGCCCACCTTGGCTTCTCAAATTGCTGGGATTACAGGTGTGAGCCACTGCACCTGGCCCGATTTCATTCTTTTTAATCCAGTGGACTCCGATGCTGTGGTTTTGGTTTTTGTTTTCTTTTGTTTTGAAGTGGAGTCTCACTCTGGTGCCAGGCTGCAGTCCCATGACATCATCTTGGCCCAATGCAACCTCCGCCTCCCGGGTTCAGGTCAATCTCCTGCCTTAGCCTCTTGAGTAGCTGGGATTTGAGGTATGAGCCACCACACTCAGCCAATTTTTTGTATTTTTAGTAGAGATGGGGTTTCACCATGATGGCCATGGCTTCCCAGAGGGCTGGAATTATAGGTTTGAGTCCCTGCATCTGGCCTTGTTTTTGTCTTCTTACCCTAGGGAATATTTTTTATCACTGATAAGGGACCTTGTGAAATTAAATCAGAGGTGGGCCAGGCACAGTGGCTCATGCCTGTAATCCCAGCACTTTGGGAGGCTGAAGCGGGCAGATCACTTAAGGTAAGATCGAGACCATCCTGGCCAATATGATGAAACCCCATCTACTAAAAATACAACAATTGGCTGGGAGTGTTGGTGCACGCCTGCAGTCCCAGCTACTTGGGAGGCTGAGGCAGGAGAATCGCTTGAACCCAGGAGGTGGAGGTTGCAGTGAGCTGAGATTGTATCACTGCACTCCAGCCTGGCAACAGAGTGAGACTCTGTATCAAAAAAAAAAAAAAATCTTAAATCAGAGGTGGTGGCTGGCACCTGTAATTTCAGCAACTCACACTCCAGCCTGCATAAGAGAGTGAGACCCCATCTCTAAAAATAAACAAATACAAATCAAATAAACAAAATGAGATCCAAAATCTCTGCTCAGTGGGCGTGCAGTGGCCCACACCTGTAATCCCAACACTTTGGGAATTCAAGGTGGGAGACTGTTTAAAGCCAGGACTTTGAAACCAGCCAGCCTGGGCAACAGAGCAAGACCCCACCTCTACAAATTAAAAATTAAAAAATTAGTTGGAAGCTAGGTAAAGTGGCTCATGCCTGTAATCCCAGCACTTTGGGAGTCTGAGGCAGGTGGATCACCTGAGGTCAGGAGTTTGAGACCAGCTTGGCCAACATAGTGAAACTCTGCCTCTACTAAAAATACAAAAAAGTAGTTGGGCGTGGTGGCACACACCTGTAATCCCAGCTACTTGGGAGGCTGAGGCAGAAAAATTGCTTGAACCCAGGAGGCAGAGGTTGCAGTGAGCCAAGATTGCACCATCCCACTCCCAGCCTGGGCAACAAAAATGAAACTCTGTCACAAGGAAAAAAAAATTAGTTGGGTGTGGTGGCATGTGCCTGTAGTCCCAGCTACTTGGGAGGCTGAGGTGGGAGGATCACTTGAGCCTAGGAGTTTGAGCCTACAGGCAGCTATGATCATGCCACTACACTCTGGCCTGGGTAACAAAGCAATCCTCCATCTCTAAAAGAAAAGATATCCCAACTCATAACATCCTCCTTGCAGAATGATCCAAAGTCTAAAAATGATTATAAGAGGATTTTCACAAGGTCAAAATAATCAGCTGGAAAAAACTGCAGGGTCAAAATGACCACCAGAGAAAATAACATTAGGAAAAAACAACAGGGCAAACAAACACCCAGTTCACTGCTTACAAAAGCACTGTGATCATTGACCCCTGGCCTCACACCATAGACACAAGCTACAGACCATTGACCCCTGGCCTCACACCATAGACACAAGCTACAGACCATTGACCCCTGGCCTCACACCATAGACACAAGCTACAGACCATTGACCCCTGGCCTCACACCATAGACACAAGCTACAGACCATTGACCCCTGGCCTCACACCATAGACACAAGCTACAGACCATTGACCCCTGGCCTCACACCATAGACACAAGCTACAGACCACTGACCCCTGGCCTCACACCATAGACACAAGCTACTGACCAGCTGCAGATGTAATTGTGAAACTAAGAGAATAATGATGCTAGAATAAAACCTACAAGAACATCTTCGGGACGTTGAGATGGAGAAAGGTTTTATAAACAGACCCTGAAAAGCAACAGCCATTAAAAAAGAAAAAAAAAGATGGGGTCAAAAAGGCCAAAGAGTGTCAAAACAAAACAAAACAAACCATAGGTTGGGCACAGTGGTTCACACCTATAATCCCAGCACTTTGGGAGGCTGAGGTGGGCAGATCACTTGAGCTCAGGAGTTTGAGACCAGCCCAGGCAACATGGCAAAACCCTGTCTTTACAAAAAAATAGAAAGTTAGATGGGCATGGTGGTGCACACCTGTGGTCCTAGCTATTTAGGAGGCTGAGGTGGGAGGATTGCTTGAGCCCAGGAGGTGGAGGTTGCAGTGAGTTATGATTGTGCCACTGCACTCCAGCCTGGGTGACAGGGCCAGACCCTGTGTGAAAAAAAAGAAAGAAAAGGAAGGGAAGGGGAGGGGAAAAGGGAAAGGGGAGGGGAAGGGAGGAAAGGGAAATGCGGGGAAAAGGAAAGAAGGAAGGGAGGGAAGAAAAAGAGGAAGGAAGGAAGGAAGAAGGAAGGAAGGAAGGAAGGAAGGAAGGAAGGAAGGAAGGAAGGAAGAAAAAGAAAAAAGAAATTAAGAGAGAGAGAGATAAGTGAGTCAAGGTACTTTAAAACACAGGAGAAAAAAAATAAAGATTTGAAATTTGTTTTAAAAGAAAGAAAAAAAGAAAACACAAGTGTGAAATCTCAAGAGGTCAGGATGGCTGCAGGGTCAAATGTCTGCTCAAGGCCAGGGGTGGTGGCTGATGCCTGTAATCCCATCACTTTGGGAGGCCAAGGAGGGTGAATCACCTAGGTCAGGAGTTCAAGACCAGCCTCGCCAACATAGTGAAATCCCATCTCTATTAAAAATACAAAAGTTAGCTGGGCATGAAGGCAGGTGCCGGTAATTCCAGCTAGTTGAGAGGCTGCGGCAGGAGAATCACTTGAACCCGGGAGACGGAGGTTGCAGTGGGCTGAGATCGCACCACTGCACTCCAGGCTGGATGAAAGAGTGAGACAGTCTCAAAACTATCTTTCTTTTATAAAATAAAATAAAGTCTGTTCAAGTAAGACTGATGGGGTCAAAACACCCAGGGGTGTGGGGCTAAAACAGGCCACTGCGGGGGCGGAGTGGGGGCCGGCCCTGCTCACCTGGAAGACCTCGGCACTGGTCTTCTCATGCCGCCGTCCCAGCTCCTCCAGCTGCCCCTCCAGCTGGGCCACGTTGGCCTGCAGGGCGCCCACGATGCGCTCGTGCTCCGAGAGTGCCACGCTGCACACGCGCTCGCGCTCCAGCTCCGCGCGCAGCCGGGCGGCCTCCTTGCCAGTGGCCACCACCTCCTGCTCCAGACCGGCTGCCCGGCCGCGCAACTCTAGGGCTTCCTCCTGCAGCCGGCGGTGCTCAGAGGCCGGCACCACGGACTGGCGGAGGGCCTCGGAGGCCTCCCGCAGCTCTGCCAGCCCCTGCCGCGCCTCCTCGCAGGCCGACGCCAGCTCAGCCACCCGGGCCTCGGCCGCATCCCGGGCCCGGCCCAGCTCCGCGGCCGCCGAGCGCTGCTGCTCCCCCGTGGCCCTGGCCGTGGCCAGCTGCTCACGCAGCACCTCCAGCTCCCGGCTCTGCTCCAGCCGCGCCTCCTCCCGCTGCGCCAGCTCCGCCCGCAGGCCCCGGGCATCCTCCTCCGCCAGCAGCCGGCTGGCCCGAGCCTCATCCAGGCTGGCCGAGGCCGCCTCCAGCTCCCGCAGGCGGGAGTCCCTCTCTCGGAGGTCCTCCCGGGCCTGTTCCAGGGCCGCCCGTAGCTGTGTGGTGTCGATGCCACTGCCGCCGCCGCCCCCACTGGCCCCACTGCCCTCGGCTTCACGGACACGCTCTCGCAGCCGGCCCGCCTCGGCCTCCGCAGCCTCACACTTCCCAAGGGCCACCTCCAGCTCAGCGGCTGCCTCCCGCTCCCGCTGCCGGAGTGCTTCCTCCAGGCCGCGAATCCTGGTCTCCAGCTCCACTTGAAGCTTTTCCGAGGCCTCTGCGGCACCAGGATGTAAGATGGGTCCAGTAGAGGCTCCTGGGGCTGTGGCCTCTACCCCTGGGTTTTCCACACCCGTGGCATGGACTCCCGTGGCCTCCATCCCTGTGGCCCTAGAGCTGGTGGCTTCCATGTTTGTGGTCCCAGTGACTGGGGGCTCTGCTTGCCTAGCACCCACTTCGTAGGCTGGCATTTCTGCTTCCTCTGCTTTTGTTTTTGTGGCCACCACTCCTGTGGCCTCTGTGTCTGTGGCCTCAGCTCCTGTGGGCTTAGTTTCTGTATTTGATTCCTCTTCTACAGTCTCCATGTCTCTCACATCAGCCCACGTGGGTTTTGATTCTGTGGCCTCAGCTCCCTTGTCCTCAGCGCCTGTGGATGCAGCTTCCATAGTCCTGGCTTCCATTGTTTCATCTCTTGCAGCCTCCTCATCTGTAGTCTCGGCTCCATTAACTTTGGTTTCTGGAACCACTGAGCCATTTAGCTCCACGTGGGTTGGCCCGTTTTTGGTGGCTGTGGCTCCAGCACCCTCATTTTCCCCACAGGCTGCCCCCTCTTCTCTGGGGAACTTCCGTGTCTCCAGCTGCCTCAGTGCCTGCAGGGCCTCAGCGTGCTGCCTGCGCAGCTGGTCAAACTCGGCCCGGAGAGAGTCGTAGAGGGCAAGAGGGATGACCTCAGCCGGACCTTCCACCTCCATCTGTGTCTCGTCCTTCTCAAAGTTCTCCAGGATCTGGGGAGTGGGGTGGGGGGCAGGAGTCCAGTAGGGGTTGATGTCACCATGGGGATACAGGGTGGCCTTGCCACCTTCCCTGCCCACCCTGACCTCAGGGAACCAGCCCCAGGCCCTCGGATCTGTCCCCAGCCTCACTCTCCCCACCTGGACCTTCTCCATCAGTTCCTGATTCTGCCTGGTGAGTGCAAGCACCTGCTCCTGCAGCGAGGCCAAGCGTTCCTGGGCTGATGGGCTGAGCTGCCTGGATAGCAGCACCTCGGCACCTGGAGGGGGACACAGAGTCAGGCCCCAGGAGATAGGAGCTGTGGGGCTAGAGTGTTGGATCAGGGTTCCCAGGGCAGGCTCAGGCAAGTGGAATTTTAAAAACTGATGAGTACAAACCTTCCCCCCGGCTTCAAACTCCCCCACACCTGGAGGTCCAGGCCTGGTCTCCCAGGGCCCCAGGGATAAGGTGGGCGGGAGTGCGTGTGGAGGTGGGGGCTCACCTGGAAAGTCAGGCAGCTCACCCTCCTCATCCTGCAGGGTGGCCACGTCATAGCTGGTATTCTCCCGCTCGTTCTGGGGGTAGGGAGCAGAGTCCAGCTTGGGGTTCTGCTCTCAGCTCCTGCGTGTCCCCACCAAGACACAAGTGTGGACTGGGCCGTTCACACATGTGTATGTCCCCCACGAGCACCAGCTGCATCTGGCCCACAAGGACTCAGTAAGCACCTTCTATGTCCTTTGCCACCCCTGTTCTTTGTTGTATTACTCTGTCAGCAAGGCTGGAATGCAGTGGTGTGATCACAGCTCACGGCAGCCTCTAGCTCCTGGGCTCAAGTGATCCTCCCTCCTCAGCCTCCCAAGCAGCTGGGACTATAGGCGTGCAACATCACGCCTGGCTAATTTTTAATTTTTTTTTTTTAACCCAGAGATGAGGTCTTACCACATTGCCCAGGCTGGTCTCCAACTCCCGGGTTCAAGCGATCCTCCTGCCTCAGCCTCCCAAAGTGTTGGGATGACAGGTGTAAGCCACCGTGTGAGGCCCCATTTTTTTTTCTCCAGGCCGCGGTGCTGTGGCACAATCTCTGCTCACTGCAACCTCTACCTCCAAGGTTCAAGTGATTCTCCCGCCTCAACTGCCTGAGTAGCTGGGATTACAGGCATGCACCACCACACCCAGCTACTTTTTTGTATTTTTAGTAGAGACGGGGTTTCACCGAGTTGGCCAGGCTGTTCTGAAACTCCTGACCTCAGGTGATCCGCCCACCTCGGCCTCCCAAAGTGCTGGGATTACAGGCGTGAGCCACCAAGCCTGGCCCCACTTTGTAACTAGGTTCTTTTTGGGAAATTGAGTTGTATTAATTCCTTACATATTTTGGGTATTAACGCCTTAACAGACGCATGGTGTATGCCAGCATCCTCCAGCTTCCTGGTCTATGTGCCACGGGCATTTCCCTCCTGGGTGAGGGGACCTTGGAGCAGGCTGTGGTTACCTGTGGGTGTGTGTGTCTGCGTGAGAGTGGATGCCAACTCTATCTCTTTGCCATGCAAACCGCTGGCTGGAAGTGTGTGTGTGTGTGATGACAGGTGTGGGCCCCTTCCTGTGACCGTTGTGATTACACGCTTGAGTGTTTGTTTGTTTGTTGATTCTTTTGAGACAGAGTCTCGCTTTGTCACTCAGGCTGGAGGGCAGTGGTACAATCTCGGCTCACTGCAACCTCCGCCTCCCAGGTTCAAGCGACTCTTCTGCCTCAGCCTCCCAAGTAGCAGGGATTGCAGGCGTCTGCCACCACGCCTAGCTACTTTTTGTATTTTTAATAGAGATTCGGTTTTCCAATGATGGCCAGGCTGGTCTTGAACTCTGGACCTCAGGTGATCTGCCCGCTTTGGGCTCCCAAAGTGCTGGGATGACAGGCGTGAGCCACTACGCCTGGCCTTGTCCTTGAGTCGTAGTCTGGTGTGCGTGGGGTTGTGCTTTTTTTTTTTTTTAACTCGGTTATCCAGTTTCTGTGGAAATGGTTGTGTTTTCAATGCATCTGTAGATTTGTGTGATTGTGTATATGACTGTCTATATGTATATATGTTTGCATAATTATGTGTTTTCAGAAATACTGGTGGTGCACGGTGGCTTATGCCTGTAATCCCAGCACTTTGGGAAATGGAGGTGGGAGGATACTTGAGGCCAGGAGTTTGAGACCAGACTGGGTAAGGTAGTGAGACCACATCTCTCCAAAAAGAAAAAAAAGTAGCCAGGTGTGGTGGCACACCCCTGTGGTCCCAGCTACTCAGAAGGCTGAGGTGGGAGGATCGCTTGAGCCCGGGGATGTCCAGGCTGGAATGAGTCATCATGGTGCCACTGCTCTCCAGCCTGGACAACAGAACAAGAGCCTATCTCAAAAAAGAAAAAGGGAAAAGAAAAACTTGTTGCACACGTATGCATTTGTGGGTATGTTGTCTGTGTGTGTGACTGCACAGGAAGGGCTCACGTGCAGTGCGTGCGTGTGTGCAGTGATGCCTTCTCGCATGTGTTTGCTGCGTCTCTGTGAACTGTGCCCGCGGTATGCTCACTGTTATCCACGCTCCGTCATGTGCATGGAGAGTGGTCATCCCTCCCTGCGTGTGAGCCTGTGCTTGGAGAAATGGCCTTTCTGGGGCCGGGCGCGGTGGCTCATGCCTGTCATCCCAGCACTTTGGGAGGCCGAGGCAGGCAAATCACCTGAGGTCAGTTCAAGACCAGCCCAGTCACAGGGTGAAACCCTGTTTCTACTAAAAATACAAAAATTAGCAGGGCATGGTGGTGCGTGCCTGTAATCCCAGCTACTGGGGAGGCTGAAGCAGGCAGGAAAATTGCTTGAACCAAGGGGGCAGAGGTGGCAGTGAGCTGAGATCGCACCACTGCACCCTAGCCTGGGCAACAAGAGTGAAACTCCGGGCTAACATGGGGAGAAATGCCAGATGTAGGTGACGTGGGGACGGAGGCAGCAAACCACATTGCCATGTGTGTACCTATGCAACAATCCTGCATGATCTGCACACGCACCCCAGAACCTGAAGTACAAAAAAAAAATGAAACTCCATCCCCTGCCCCCACAAAAATACAAAAATTAGGTGGATGTGTTGACATACACCTGTAGTCTCCAGGCAGGAGAATCGCTGGAACCTGGAAGGCAGAGGTTGCCGTGAGTCGAGATCACATTGCACTCCAGCCTGGGTGACAGAGAGAGACTCTGAGGAAAGAGAAAGAGAGAGAGAGAAAGAAGAGAAAGAAAGAGAAAGAGGAGGGAGGGAAGGAGGGGAAGGGAAGAAGGAAGGGAAAGAGAAAGAGAGAGAGAAAGAAGAGAAAGAAAGAGGAAGAGGAGGGAGGGAAGGAGGGGAAGGGAAGAAGGAAGGGAAAGAGAAAGAGAGAGAAAGAGAAAGAAAGAGGAAGAGGAGGGAGGGAAGGAGGGGAAGGGAAGAAGGAAGGGAAAGAGAAAGAGAGAGAGAAAGAAGAGAAAGAAAGAGGAAGAGGAGGGAGGGAAGGAGGGGAAGGGAAGAAGGAAGGGAAACAGAAAGAGAGAGAGAGAAAGAAAAAAAAGGGAGGAAAGGAAGGAAAGAAAGGAGGGAAAGAAATGACCTTTCTGTGTCTGTGCACATCTGTAAGTGTGCATGGGTGCACGTGACCATGGCTTTGTGAGTACACCTCTGGCGGGTGTGTCTGTGCACACCTGTAAGTGTGCATGGGTGCACGTGACCATGGCTTTGTGAGTACACCTCTGGCGGGTGTGTCTGTGCACACCTGTAAGTGTGCATGGGTGCACGTGACCATGGCTTTGTGAGTACACCTCTGGCGGGTGTGTCTGTGCACACCTGTAAGTGTGCATGGGTGCACGTGACCATGGCTTTGTGAGTACACCTCTGGCGGGTGTGTCTGTGCACATCTGTAAGTGTGCATGGGTGCACGTGACCATGGCTTTGTGAGTACACCTCTGGCGGGTGTGTCTGTGCACATCTGTAAGTGTGCATGGGTGCACGTGACCATGGCTTTGTGAGTACACCTCTGGCGGGTGTGTCTGTGCACATCTGTAAGTGTGCATGGGTGCACGTGACCATGGCTTTGTGAGTACACCTCTGGCGGGTGTGTCTGTGCACATCTGTAAGTGTGCATGGGTGCACGTGACCATGGCTTTGTGAGTACACCTCTGGCGGGTGTGTCTGTGCACATCTGTAAGTGTGCATGGGTGCACGTGACCATGGCTTTGTGAGTACACCTCTGGCGGGTGTGTCTGTGCACATCTGTAAGTGTGCATGGGTGCACGTGACCATGGCTTTGTGAGTACACCTCTGGCGGGTGTGTCTGTGCACATCTGTAAGTGTGCATGGGTGCATGTGACCATGGCTTTGTGAGTACACCTCTGGCGGGTGTGTCTGCATGTGTGTAAGGCTGTGCGTGCACTGATATGGCCGTCTTGCTGCTGCGGGAGAGAAGCTCCCCCACCCGGCCCCAGCCCAACCCCGACTCAGTCACTGCTCCTACCTCCAGCAGGGACAGCCGGCTCTGCAGACTCTCCACCTCCCGTCCCAGGCTCTCCTTCTCCTCCTGCCTCTCTGCCAGTAGCTGCTGCAGCTCTTGCACCTGGGAGCAGCGGTGGAGGCTCAGCTGCCTCTGGGAGGAAAGGGTGGGCAGCGGGAGGGCCGGCTCCACCCCACCTTCCCGCCTACCTGTCTCTCCAGGCTGTGCAGGGAGCTGGCCTCCGGGGACTGACGGGAGAAGCAAGGACAGGGGGTTGGATCTGGGCAGGGGATCTCCCTGCCCCACCTCCTGCTTCATAGCCTCCATTCCATGCACATTCACTCACTCCATGTGCAACTATTGAGCACCTACTGCATTCTGCCTGCTCACTCATTACTGTTTATTGAGTGCCTGCTGTGTACCAGGCGCCAATCAGCCTGCTCAGTCATTACTAAGCCTTCACTAAGTATATAGCACTTGCTGTATACTGGGCACCATTCATTCCTATTTATTAAGTGCCTATTTTGTGCCAGCTATTGTTCTGACCTTTCATTCAGCATTTAATGAGCACCTACTGTGTGTCAGCACGCACCAATCTGACCAGTCATTCATTTCTAAGTATTTATTGCGTGCCTGCTGTGTGCTGGTATGCACCATTCTGGTCATTCATTACTAAGTACTTATTGATCACCGGCTGTATGCCAGGCACTGTTCCATTCATTCATTCATTCATTCATTCAACAAGTTTGTTGTTTTGTTGTTGCTGAGACAGAGTCTTGCTCTATTGCCCAGACTAAAGTGCAGTGGCATGATCTTGGCTCACTGCAACCTCTGCCGCCCAGATTCAAGCAATTCTCCTGCCTCAGCCTTCCAAGTAGCTGGGATTACAGGTGCCTGCCACCACGCCCAGCTAAGTTTTTTGGTGTATTTTTAGTAGAGACGGGGTTTCACCATGTTGGCCAGGCTGGTTCTGAACTCCTGACCTCAAGTGATCGCCCATCCTGGCCTCTCAAAGTGCTGGGATTACAGGCGTGAGCCACTGCACCCAGCTAGGAAGTTTCTACTGAGTGCCTCTTATGGGGCAGGTCCTGGTTTTCGCCATTCATTCATGTATTTGTACATTCATTCATTCACTCAGTAAATATTGATGACACCCACATTGTGACCCAGGCACCATCAGCCATGCCTGCCCTGGAAGGCTTGGTCAAATTCGGGAAATAAAGAGGCTGGGCGCGGTGGCTTACGCCTGCAATCCCAGGACTTTAGGAGGCCAAGGTGGGTGGATCCCCTGAGGTCAGGAGTTTGAGACCAGCCTGGCCGATGTGGTGAAACCCCATCTCTACTAAAAATACAAAATTAGCCCGGGCGTGGTGGTGGGCTTCTCTAATCCCAGCTGCCTGAGAGGCTGAGGCAGGAGACTCGCTTGAACCTGGGAGGCGGAGGTTGCAGTGAGCCGAGATAGCGCCACTGCACTCCATCCTGGACGACAAGAGCAAGACTGTCTCAAAAAAAAACCCCAAAAACAAAAACAAAAACACCCAGCTGTGGCGGGTCACGCCTGTAGTCCCAGCGTTTTGGGAGGCTAAAGCAGGTGGATCACAAGGTCCAGAGTTCGAGACCAGCCTGACCAATGTAGTGAAACCCCGTCTCTACTAAAAATACGAAAACTAGCCGGGCATGGTGGTACAAGCCCTTCATCCCAGCTATTCGGGAGGCTGAGGCAGGAGAATCGTTTGAATCAGGGAGGCGGAGGTTGCGGTGAGCCGAGATCGCGCCACTGCACTCCAGCTTGGGCAACAAGAGCGAAACTCCGTCTCAAAAAATAAAGAAATATAATAAAATAAATAAAGCGAACTAGCGAGTTGGGGAGGGGTTTACAGTTTTAAGGAAAGTGGATATGGGAGGTGTCTTTGGCAAGAGGCCTAGTGCATAAAGTAGGTGAGGGTAAAGAGCTGTGTGGACATCTGAGGCAACAGCATTCCAGGCAGAGGACACAGCCCATGCAAAGGCCCTGGGACAGGACCATGCCTGGGGTTAGAGGAACAGCGAGGAGGCCCGGGTGGCTGCAGCAGAGTGGGGAGGGAGAGAGAGGGAGGAGGGAAGGAGGACGGAAAGTAAAGGGCATCTTCATGTATGCATTCACCCCACCCAGGCTTGGCCCCATGCCCGAATCTCCTCGGCCTCCTAACCTCCTGCTGCCTCCGTTCCTTGTGCTGTTCCAGGCCCCGGATCTTCTGCAGGAGGCGGCCCCTCTCCTGTCGCAGCCTCACGATCTCCTCGTAGGCATCTTGGTCATCCTGCTCCCCTCCCCGCCCACTGTCTTTAGACAGGGCCTAGGGCTGCCCCATCCCAGGTCTGAGTCAGAGTTCCTCCCCAGGCCCGGGGGCTTCCCATTTCTACTCCCATGCCCAGAGCGTCCCTCACCGGCACGGGGATGCTGGCGGGAGGTGGAGGCGCTTTCCGTTTCTTGGGGGCCCCCTGCTTTCCATGGCTGGACATAGAATTCTGGGAAGGGAGGGGTGAGAGGGTGAAGGAGGTGGATGGGGGGCCATGCCAGCCTCCCCTGCAATAAACCAACCCAGCCAGCCCCAGCTGTGCCCTGACTTCCGCGAACACTGACCTCCTCCCCCTCCCTTATCCCAGCATAAACACAGACAAGACCACCTGGCTGTAAGTTCCCGATCGTACTCCTTACGCTCTGCCTCAGTTCCTTCCCCAGCTAGACCACAGTGCCCTCACGTTTTCACTCCTCTGTGGAGCAGAGATACTTTAAAACTAGGAGAGGGGCCGGGCAGGTGACTCACACCTGTAATCCCAGCACTTTGGGAGGCCGGGGCGGGTGGGTCACTTGAGGTCAGGAGTTCCAGAGCAGCCTGGACAGCACATAATGAAACCCCATCTCTACTAAAAAATACAAAAATTAGCTGGATGTGGTGGCACACACCAGTACTCTCAGCTACTCAGGAAACTGAGGCAGGAGAATCACTTGAACCCGGGAGGCAGAGGTTGCACCACTGCACCATAGCCTGGGCAACAGAACGAGACTCTGTCTCTCCAAAAAAAAAAAAAAGAAAAACTGGGATAAGGGCGACACAGTGGCTCACACCTGTAATCCCAGAATTTTGGGAGGCCAAGGCAGGTGGGTCACTTGAGGCCAGGATTCGAGATCAGCCTGGCCAACATGGTGAAGCCCTGTCTCTACTAAAAATACAAAAATTAGCCAGGCGTGCTGAGTGCCTATAATCCCAGCTACTAGGGAGGGTGAGGCAGGAGAATCACTTGAACTCAGAGGGTGGAGATTGCAGTGAGCAGAGATCGCGCCACTACACTCCAGTGTGGACGAGAGTGAGAGAAAAACAAACAAACAGAAAGAAGGGAAGAGGCCAGACCTGCTTCCTTCCCTGAAGACACCAGCCCTCCAACCTCAGTCCCCTCTGCCCTCCCACCCCAGCCCCACAATTTGGTCCCCTCCCCTTAGTATTCTCACCCAGTTCTAGGAGTTAGGCTGGGCACGCCGCCGCCACTTGGTGGCAGCATACCCTGAAGGTAGCATTCTTTCCAAACTGGTTTTCCCAGGTCTAACTTCCTTCTCTTCTCACAGAGCTTGGGGCAGGGGAGAAGTTAGTGTGGATGCAGGGAAGAGGGCCTCCTTCACTGCTTAGGGGTCCATACCTGAGATGACGCCTCGCCTGAGTCATCCTCTGGGAAGGCGGGGGAGAGACGGAAGCAGGGTCAGGCATTCTGTTTCCAGCCCCAGGAAGGACATTGGTGGGCCCCAGGGACTTGGAGGAGGCTCCCGATTTCCCCAAGAACCAGGACATTTAAGGTAGAAACCTGGCACTTGGATAGAGTGCTGAGGGGGGGACTTGGAACTGTTAAAAAGAGAGGACAGCTGGGCGCGGTAGCTCACGCCTGTAATCCCAGCACTTTGGGAGGCTGAAGTGGGCAGATCGCCTGAGGTCAGGAGTTCCAGACCAGCCTGGCCAACATGGTGAAACCCCGTCTTTACTATAAAAACAAAAATTAGCTGGGTGTGGTGGCAGGAGCCCACATCTACTAAAAATACAAAACAGGTTGGGTGCAGTGGCTCACGTCTGTAATCTCAGCACTTTGGGAGGCCAAAGCGGGCAGATCACAAAGTCAAGAGATTGAGACCATCCTGGCCAACATGGTGAAACCCCGTCTTTACTATAAAAACAAAAATTAGCTGGGTGTGGTGGCAGGAGCCTGTAGTTCCAGCTACTTGGGAGGCTGATGCAGGAGAATTGCTTCAACCTGGGAGGCGGAGGTTGCAGTGAGCCAAGATTGCCACTGCACTCCAGCCTGGTAACAAAGCTGGACTACAAAAGACTCCATCTAAAAAAAGGAAAGAGGACAGGCCAGGTGCAGTGGCTCGCACCTGTAATCCCAGCATTCTGGGAAGCCGAGGTGGGTAGATCACCTGAGGTCAGGAGTTCAAGAACAGCCTGGTCAACATGGTGAAACCCAATCTCCGCTAAAAATGCCAAAATTAGCCAGGTGTGGTGGCAGGTGCCTGGTGACCCAGCAGGTTGGGAGGCTGAGGCGGGAGAACTGCTTGAACCATGCTCTGCTAACTTTTGTATTTTTAGTGGAGACAGGGTTTCACTATTTTGGTCAAGCCGGTCTTGAACTCCTGGCCTCAAGTGATTTGCCCACCTTGGCCTCCCAGAGTACTGGGATTACAGGCGTGAGCCACCTCGACCGGCAGGGGGTGCCCTTCTTAGGAGAGGCAAAGTTTTTTCTGCATAGGTGACCCAGGAAAGCAGAAGCAGACCCCGTCCCAGACTACACTAAATGCCCTGGGGCTCCTTGAAACTGTTCTGAGTAGAATCCAGTAAGTGCTGGGACCTCCTAGAATGCGGCCACCTGGGGGTACCTTGAAACTATTCGAGATAGAGAAAGGCGGGGTGATGAGAAGCTGCCAAGCAGATGTGGCGGGGAGGTGGGGCTTGCATACCGCTGGGTGGGGAGGGGCGCTGGGCCGCCTCCTGCAGCAGGTGCAGGATGAGTTTGTCCCCCGCCAGGGCGCCATAGTGAGCCGCGTCCTGCCCCAGCACATCGGTGATGCCCAGCTGGGCTCCGCCCTGCAGCAGGACCTCCACTGTTTCCGGGCTGGCCCCTTCACAGGCCAGCATCAGGGCCGTCCTACCAGGGGAGGGGGCTACTGAGGAAATGAGAACATCCCCCAAACCCCCACGCCCACCTCAGCACCCAGGCCGAGCTGGGAAGAGGAGGCTGCCTACATTGCTTTACTCAGAGAGGTTAAGAGTCTGGCCCAAGGTCACACAGCATAGGGTGGACTGGCTGGGAGGGGAGATGCTCACCTGCCTTGCAGGTCCTGATTGTTCGCGGCAGCCCCTTGCTGCAGAAGGAGACGGCACAGGTCTGTGTGACACATCTGAGCTGCTATAATGAGGGGTGTTGCGCCTGACTGGTAGGGAGGAAGAGGGATGCGATGGCATGAGAAACTGACCCCCCCGGAGGTGCAGAGGCCTATATAACCACCCTCGAGTTTCATCCCAAACTTTCTCAAACTTCCAAAGGGTGCCTGAGATACCGCCACTTGGTGGCAGCATACCTCAAGCATAACATCTTTCCCAAAGAGATCCCAGAAGCTTACCCGATCTTGGGGGTTTAGATGCGCCTTAAAGGAGCAGAGCATCTCTGAGCAGGAGAGACAGCCACCAGCCGCTGCAAGAGAAAAGGGTGCAGTGGCTCAAGCCTGTAGTCCCAGCACTTTGGGAGGCTGAGGCAGGAGGATGGCTTGAGCCCAGGAGTTTGAGACCAACCTGGGCCAACATAGTGAGACCCTGTCTCTAAAAAAAAAAATGCAAAAATTATCTGGGTGTGGTGGCATGTGCCTGGGGCCCCAGCCGAAGGCTCGGGAGGCTGAAGTGGGAAAACCGCTTGAGCTCAGGAGTTCGACGTTGCTGTGAGCCATGATGGCACCACTGCACGCCAGCCTGGGTGACAGAGGGAGACCTTGTCTTAAAAACCAACAAAAGAAAGGAAGAAAAGCAAAATCGGGGAAGAGTAGGGTAGGAAATATGTTGACATTTTCTGGGGACTTTCTGCCTGGATGTGACCCTGCTCCTTTGTTTATTTATTTATTTTTGAGATGGAGTCTCACTCTGTCACCAGGCTGGAGTGCAGTGGCACAATCTCAGCTCAGTGCAACCCCCACCTCCCAGGTTCAAGTGATTTTCCTGCCTCAGCCTCCCGAGTAGCTGGGATTACAGGCGTCCACCATCACGCCCGGCTAATTTTTGTATCTTTAGTAGAGATGGGGTTTCGCCATGTTGGTCACAATAGTCTTGATCTCCTGACCTCGTGATCCGCCAGCCTTGGCCTCCCAAAGTGTTGGGATTACAGGCGTGAGCCACTGCGCCCAGCCCTTGCTCCTTTATTTAATGACAAATTCCCACCGGGCCTGTGAGATTCATAACAAATGCATGTTTCGCATTTTACAGATGCAGAAACTGAGGCCCCTCCAGGCCTGTGGTCACCCAGTGTGGTGAGAAGCAGAGTCGCATGTAGGATCGAGGTGTGCTGCTAACTCCCAGGCCCGAGCCCTGTGGTTCCCTCTTTCCTTTTTGTAGAGGTCTGGCTGTGCTGCTCAGGCTGGTCTTGAACTCCCGATCTCGAATGATCTGCCCGTCTCAGGTTCCAAAATGCTGGGATTACAGGCATGAGCCCCGAAGCCTGGCATATTTATTTGTTTATTTTTGAGACAGAGTCTCTCTCTGTTTCCCAGGCTAGAATGCAGTGGCACTACCTCTGCTCACTGCAACCTCTGCCTCCCAGGTTCAAGCGATTCTCCTGCCTCAGCCTCCTGAGGAGCTGGGATTACAGATGCCTGCCACCACACCCAGCTAAGTTTTGCATTTTTAGACAGGGTTTCACCATGTTGGCCAGCCTGGTCTTGAACTCCTGACCTCAGGTGATCCACCTGCCTTGGCCTTCCAGAGTGCTGGGATTACAGGCGTGAGCCATCGTGCTCAGCCTAATTTTTATATTTTTAGTAGAGACAGGGTTTCTCCATGTTGCCCAAGCTGGTCTCAAACATCTGAGCTCAAGTGATCCACCCACCTCTGCCTCCCATAGTGCTGGGATTACAGGCGTGCACCACCGCGCCCGGCTGGCCTATCCACATTTTAAGAGATTCCCTTCTTTTATTTATTTTCTTTCTTCTTCTTTTTTTTTTTTTAAAGATGGGGTTTCACCATGTTGGCCAGGCTGGTCTTGAACTCCTGACCTCAGGGTGATCTGTCTGCCTCAGCCTCCCAAAGTGCTGATTTTTTTTTTTTTTTTTTTTGAGAGAGAGAGTCTTGCTCTGTCACCAGGCGCCAGGTTGGAGTGCAGTGGCGCAATCTCGGCTCACTGCAACCTCCACCCGCTGGGTTCAAGCAATTCTCCTGCCTCAGCCTCCCAAGTAGCTGGGACTCCAGGTGCACACCACCACGCCTGGGTAATTTTTGTATTTTTAGTAGAGATGGGGTTTCACCACGTTGGCCAGGATGGTCTCGATCTCTTGACATCGTGATCCAACCAACTCGGCCTCCCAAAGTGCTGGGATTACAGGCGTGAGCCACCGCACCCGGCCCCAAAGTGCTGGGATTACAGGCGTGAGCCACCGCACCCGGCCCCAAAGTGCTGGGATTACAGGCGTGAGCCACCGCGCCCGGCCCCAAAGTGCTGGGATTACAGGCGTGAGCCACCGCGCCCGGCCCCAAAGTGCTGGGATTACAGGCGTGAGCCACTGCACCCGGCCAAGAGATTCCTGTCTACTGCTGTTTGCACAGGACCAGAGTGGACAGGGAGGCTCCCCAGGAGGCTGTGTGGCTGAGACAAGGGCATAGTCTCCGGAATCCCTGGGGATGAATTCCCGCAGGTTGACGTGCAGTCAGATTAAGCACAAGAATCCATTTTTCAGTCGACAATTCTGTTTGAATAGCTGCTGTGCGCCTGAGGGAGGACGACGTTCTGATCGCTGCAAACCTCATCTACAACATGTAGAACAGGTACTCAGTAACTGCTTTTGATTTTTGTTTTTGAAATGGAGTCTCCCTCTGTCACCCATGCTGGAGTGCGGTGGCACAATCTCGGCTCACGGCAACCTCCATTTTCCAGGTTCAAGCGATTCTCCTGCTTCAGCCTCCTGAGTAACTGGGATTACAGGCACGCACCACCCTGCCTGGCTAATTTTTTATTATTAGTAGAGATGCGGTTTCACCATGTTGGCCAGGCTGGTCTCGAACACCTGACCTCAGGTAATTCACCCACCTCGGCCTCCCAAAATGCTCAATACTGTTGAGTGACAAAAACCAATGAGCTCCTACATACTGACTAGAGGAACTGCCGCCACTAGGTGGCAGCGTACTCCAGCTGCAAGGCATTCTTACCCAGAGACTAAAACCCCAACAGAAGCCCAATTTTATTCTGAGTTTCCAAAAGAACAGATGTTTCTTGAGTCGTCAGTGAAAGTGATACCTGAATTTCACGGCCAGAGCGGACAGATTGGGGGCTGGGTTTTGGCTCAAGTGGGTGGGTCCCTTTCCCTTCCTTGCGGAAGGAGTTTGGATTTGGTGATGAAGGTGCCAGAGGCCTGGAGCTGTAATTTTCCTGATATCTCCTAGGAGCTCCTGAACTGAAAGAAAATTAAACCCCAGGGGCCTGTCCTCATCGCCACAAGGACCCGGAGTACAATCGGCTGCTCCTTGAGGTCAGACAACCCGGATTCACTACCACTTACCTGCTGTGGACAAGTGACGCCTCGTTAAGCCTCATCTGTGCAATGGGTTAATAGTATGTCGTTCAAAGGGTAACTGGGATTTAGGATGGGCTCTAGTGCCCGGCATGTGGTAGGTAATAAAAAAGGAGGAGAAGGGCCAGGCGCTGTGGTTCATACCTGTAACCTCAGTACTTTAGGAGGCAGGTGAATTGCCTGAGGTCACAAGTTTGAGACCAATCTGACCAACATCGTGAAACCCCATCTCTACTAAAAATACAAAAAAATTAGCTGGACATGGTGGCGCGCACCTGTAATCCCAGCTACTCAGGAGGCTGAGGCAGGAGAATTGCTTGAACTCGGGAAGTCGAGGTTGCACTGAGCCGAGTTTGCTCCAATACACTCCAGCCTGGGCAACACAGCAAGACCCCATCTCGAAAGAAAAGAAAAGGCTGGATGTGGTGTAAAAAAAAAAAAGAAAAAGCTGGGTGAGGCTTCATGCCTATAATCCCAACACTTTGGGAGGCCAAGGTGGGTGAATCACCTGAGGTCAGCAGTTTGAAACCAGCCTGACCAACATGAAGAAACCCCATCTCCATTAAAAATACAAAATTAGCTGGTCGTGGTGGTGGGTGTCTGTAGTCCCAGCCACTCGGGAGGCTGAGGAAGGAAAATGGCTTGAACCCAGGAGGCAGAGGTTGCAGTGAGCTGAGACTGTGCCACTGCATTCCAGCCTGTGCAATAACACAGTGAGACTCTGTCAAAAACACACACACACACACACACACACACACACACACACACACACAAAGAAAAGAAAAAAGAGAAAAGGAAAGAAAAGAAAAAGGAAAAAGAGGAGACAGGAAGCTTCACAGCAGGTCCCCAGGGCCCGGGGTAGAATAACCCCCAAGTCTAGCACGCTCTGGGCTATGGGGTCAGGGCAGGGCCGGGCTGCACCTACCTGCATGGTGTAGGGCAGTCCAGCCGCTGCTGTCCACGACGTCCACCACGCAGGAGGCCTGGGAATGGGGGAGTCCTTTGAGGCACAGCCATCCTTCTCGCTGTCTGATTTCTCTAGGACTGCCTTCCCCACCTTGGGCTCTGCTATACTTCAGCCTCTCTGCCTCACCTTTCCCAGGCCCCCAGGTGACTCCATTTTCATGAAAATTGGTGGGAAAAGAAAATAGCTGGGAGCTGAGAAGCAGCTGAGAGTTTGGGGCATAGCTGGGAACTCTGAAGGTGGCTGGGGCTAAGAAAGGACCTGGGACTTAGGGAGAAACAGAGCTCAGTTAGCATCTGGGTGTCGGGAGTATATCTTAAGTGGGAGAAGCATCTGGATGCTCTGAGAGTATCTGGTTATCCAGGGAGTAGCTGGGATTCTGGAGGAAAAGCGGCCAAGGAATATCTAGGATTCACAGAGCATCTGGGGGTTCAAGGAATGGCTGGAACTCAGGATTAGTAGGGGTCAAGGGAGTATCTGGGGTTTGGGGAATAGCTGAGACAAGAAAGGAAATGACCTGCAGTAGTTGCTTCAAGCACTGTGGGTGCCCGTATTTGGCGGCCAGGTGGAGTGCGTTGTAACCTGAGGAGGGAGAGATTGGTGCTCCAGCTGTACAAGTGGCTCCCAGTTGCTCCCCATGCCATGTCAACTATTTGTGGTGAGTTTCTGTGTCTAGCAAAGTCCCCAAACCCCAGTACTTCTCTCTTTTTTCCCCCCTACAGACAGGATCGTGCTCTTTCGCCCGGGCAGTGTGGGCATAGCTCACTGCAGGCTTGAACCCGTAGACTCAGGCGATCCTCCTGTCTCAGCCTCCCAAGCAGCTGGGATTACAAGCAAGAGCCACCATGTCTGGCTAATTTATTTGTATTTTCTGTAGGGATGGGGTCTTGCTATGTTGCCCAGGCTGATCTTGAACTCCCTGGATCAAGTGATCCTCCCACCTCAGCCTCCCAAAGTGCTGGGATTACAAGCAAGAGCCACCATGTCTGGCTAATTTATTTGTATTTTCTGTAGGGATGGGGTCTTGCTATGTTGCCCAGGCTGATCTTGAACTCCCTGGATCAAGTGATCCTCCCACCTCAGCCTCCCAAAGTGCTGGGATTACAAGCAAGAGCCACCATGTCTGGCTAATTTATTTGTATTTTCTGTAGGGATGGGGTATCGCTATGGTGCCCAGGCTGGTTTTGAACTCCCGACCTCAGGTGACCTGCCTGCCTCAGCCTCCCAAAGTGCTGGGATTACAGGCAGGAGCCACTGTGCCCAGCCCTCAGCTACTTCTCAAAATCATGCTACTCCCTGTGCCCAGAGACTCTTCAACCCACGGCTAGTCTGTATTCCAGACAATTCCACCTCAGGGACACGCCACACCCACCTATTCCCCAAGCCCTGTTGCTTCAGCTACTCCCCATGTCCCCGACACTCTACAGGTTCAACTCCACCAAAGCCGCAGCTCCGCCCTTCACAACCCACAGCTGCTGTGCACGTTCTTGCCCATCCACATACCCTTGCTCTTCCATATGTCAGCTCTGTCTGCTGCTCTGCGACTCCCCAGCTACTCCACCTACCCTGTCCACTATGCCTGTGGCCCTAAAGCCGCAGGTGTGACTGTGTCCCCACGCCTAGGTGCCTCTCGAGCCCCAACTACTCCTTTGGCCGCACGTTTTTATTTCAGTTATTTCCCCAGGTCCCCAGTTGAGCCATGCACCCAGGTTCTCCTTGTACCCCAGATACTCCCAGAGCTCCAGCTGCTCTTACATATCTCAGCCCTCCCACGTATCTCAGATATTCCCCAAACACTACTCGTTATTCTCATGCCCCAGATACTCTGCAAGCTCAGCTACTCCCATGAATCCCGATTCTCCTCCAAACTCTGAGCAGCTCCCTTCGGGTCATTTCCCTGAGCTCAGATACTTCCACATCCCGGATGCTCCTCAAGTCTTAGTTCATCCAACAGTCCCAGTGATCTCCCCAGCCCCAGTTCTTCCTCTGCCTCAGTCACTTTCTAGAAACTTCCCCAGGCTGGGCATGGCGGCTCACACCTATAATCTCAGCACTTTGGGAGGCTGAGTGGAAGCATCACTTGATCCCAGGAGTTCAAGACTAGCCTGGACAACACAGGGAGACTCCATCTCTCATAAGAACACAGAAATTAACTGGGCGTCGTGGTGTGTGCCTGGAGTCCCAGCTACTTGGGAGGCTGAGGTGGGAGGATCGCTTGAGCCTGGGAAGTGGAGGCTGCAGTGAGCCGAGATCACACCCACTACACGCAAGCCTGGGTGACCGAGGGAGATCCTGCCCCCCTCAAAAGAAAGAAAAACAACAAAACCCCCAGAACTTTGCAGTTCTCCCCCAAGCCCCTGCTACTTCCCCACCCAACTGAACCAACACCTGAATCCTAGTCACTCGCCATCCACAAGCTGTCCAGGTGCTTCGCTCGGTGCCAACCACAGTCTCTGTCTTTGGGTACCCCACTCTAACATGCCCCTGGGTGTCTCCCTGGAGGCAAGGGAGGGGCACTGGAGGGAGCCCCCACCTTTCAGGAGGGAACATTGAGGCCTGGAAGCAGGACCTGGTGGGACCCTCAGGCTGGGTACCTGGGCTGAGTTTCTCCTCCCCCCCCAGGGCCAGGCTGGCAGTACCTGCCCCGTCCGTGCTCATGACATTGGCGCCATGAGCTATCATCACCTCCAGACAGCTGGCCGCACCCCGCATGGCAGCCAGGTGGAACCTGGAGGTGAGAGACGAGGGTTCAGCTGCAGGGTCGCCACCCCTCATCCATCCCACTCCCGGGTTGAGGGCACTCACGCAGACTTGCCCTCGGGGTCTAGCTTTGTGGGCACCAGCCCCTTGCGGGCGATGAGGGTCGCCACGCGAGGTGCATCGTTGTTCTCCACGGCTTGTAGCAGCCTCTCGTCACTCTTGCCCCAGTCTTGACTCTGCAGGGTATGCACAGGGGTGTGTGGGGCAGGGTCGGCTGCTGCCCCTCCCCATGCCCCCTGGTACGGGCCCCAGGCTCTCACCGCCCGCCCCTGGGCACTTGCCTGGCACCTGCCTCTGGCTGCCGGCTTCGGGATGGGGCAGGGGCCACAGGGTGGGCAGGAGCCGAGGTCAGTGGGGCTGAGCCGCAGCTGCAGGGGGGAGGTGGTCCTGGGCGGGGGTGTCCTCAGACAGTGTCCCCCAATCCTGCGACCCCCAGCATCTGCCCCCAAGCCCATCACCCCAGTTGTCCAACAAAAGTCCATCACCAGCATCATCCCCTGAGCAGCCCCCCACTACCCACCCCTACATCGATTTCCAAAATGTTTTTCCCTGGGCTGGGTTGGGAGGCTCACGCCTGTAATTCCAGCACTTAGGGAGGCCAAGGTGGGAGGATCGCTTCAGCCCAGGAGTTTGAGACCAGCTTGGGCAACATAGTGGGACCCTGTGTCTACAAAAACTAAAAAATCATCAGGGCATGGAGGCTCATGCCTGTAGCTGCTTGGGAAGCTGAGGTGAGAGGACCGTGAGACCAGGAATTTTGAGACCAGCCTGGGCAACACAGCAAGACCCCCTTTGTTCAACGAAAAACTTTGTTCCCCTTTGCTTGTAACTGAGGAGACAAAAAAAAAAAAAAAAGTTGTTCCCCAATTCATTGCTTAGTGAAAGCCACGCCCGCAACGCCGCCCGCAGCGAACAGGCCCATGAGTCTTCCAAACTACCCTCCTAAGTCCCGTCGGAAACCCCAAAAGGTCCCTCTACCTGTCTCTCGGGACTGCCCTCGGCCCTGTTTATCCACAACTGCCCTGAAATGCCACCACTGTCCCCTAAACATCCCGAGGCTTCTCCCCCAAAAACTAGAGCCTGAAATGTATTATAAAATGTCTCCCCCAAATTCCTGAAGTGTTCTCTAAAAGCATCCTTCCCATGATCCCGCCAGGTCCCAAAAATATCCTCCAAAAACATCCCTCAAATGTTCGCCCAAACTGTTCTGCAAATGTCATTACCTCTTCCCAAAAACGGCTCTCCTAAAATAGCCTCCAAGTTGTCCCCTCAATGACCCCGTCTGTTTCCAAAATGTTTTCTCAAAACTGCACCCCCGATGCCCTCTAAATTCTCCCATGTATCCCCATCTGTTTCAAAGTGTCTTCCAAAACGTGTCCAAATGTCTCTTCCATCCCCCAAAAGCTGCCCCAACCTCTGTCCCCTCCCCAGCCCATCTTTCCCGGGTCTGGAATGGGGGGTCCAGGCCAGCCAGGGATGGGGAGGGGAGGGGAGGGAAGGAGAGCGGAGGGGAGAGGAGGGACCCGCGCCCCTGCCCGCTCCCGCGCCCCCTCCCCGGGCCCTACCGCGAAGGAGGAGGCTGCGCACAGACACAGCTGCTTCATGGCGTCTGGGGCACAGGATGGGGCGGGGGGGCGCACGGGGTTCCAGGAGGAGGTGGCGGCCCGAGGGGCTGGAGGGACCGCGGGGAGCGGCCGAAGGGCGGGGCTGGGCGCTGCCGGAGCTCCCCGCCCCCTCAGCCCAGTCCCGCCCTTCCTGGTGCCGCCCCCTCCCCCACGGGATGGAGTGGGGAGACCCAGGGAGGGGTCTCTGAGGGAGGGGGCGCCGCCCCGACCCCACCTGACCTTGTCTCCTGGAGGAGGATGAGGACGCGGCGCCGGGGGCCGGGCTCCCTCACCCACGCAGGCCGCCAGCTGCATCTCCAGGGGACCCACGGGCGTCCATGTCAGCCTCCTCCGAGTCCGCCAAGGGCACGCAGGTGCCTCCAGGCCCGCGATGTCCGCAGCCTCGCACCGCCACGTGGCCAGGAGAGCTCTGGCCACTCACCCTTTCATTCATTGACTCATTCACTCGTTCACCCACTGGTTCATTAGTTCACCCACTCATTCATTCCTTCACCCGTTTGTTTATTGGCTCACCCATTTGTTCATTCGTTCATTCACTGAATCACCCATTCATTCATTCCTGCACCGTTACTTCCTTCTTTCATGCATTCATTCATTCGTTCACTACTAACTCATTCCCTCGTTGGCTTACCCTTCATTCATTCCCGCATTTATTTGGCTATTCTTTGGCACACCCACTTGTCCATTCATGCATTGGCTCACCCATTCATCATTCAATCACTCATTCATTCCTAGCCAATGGGGCTCCGCAGTCCTACCACCTGAATTTGAACCCAGCCCCGCCCCACCCCTGCCTTTCCTACCTACATGACTGGGCCAACAGACTTACCGGTTTAGGGCTTCGCCTTCCTCTTACATAAAATGGGTTTCATAATAGTGGAGTGTCACCAGCAGCACTCAGCCAACCAGTGCCTGGCACACAGTAAGCGCACAGTAAAACCGTGACCCGCTAATCACTGGAAGAGCTAGCTGGCCCCGGCGCAGCTCTGACATTCTCTAGCCATTTCTGGTCCATTTCCGCCACTCAGGACCCACAGCTCCTCCTAAGGAAGGGCCTTGGGGGCCTTGTGGTCGGCCACTGCAGCATCCCCAGGGCCTGGCCCACGGCAGGTGCTCCACAAACATGCATCAGATGAACACTTGGGGGAGATGCTCCTTCATGCAGCAAACATTTATTGAGTGCCTACTGGATGCCACGCACAATTCACAGGCCTGGAGACTCTAGGAGCACAGCCAAGACCCTTGCAGGTGGCTGGCATTTTAGAAGGAGCCCTGGAGGGCAGGCACAGTGGCTCAAGCCTGTAATGCACTTTGGGAGGCTGAGGAGGGTGGTTCACCTGAGAACAGGAGTTTAAAACCAGCCTGGCCAACATGGCAGAACCCCATCTCTACAATGCAAAATTAACCTTAAAAACGCAAAAATTAGCCCGCTGCGGTGGTGGGCACCTGTAACCCCAGCTACTTGGGAGACCAAGGCAAGAGAATCGCTTGAACCCAGGAGGCAGAAGTTGCAGTGAGCCGAGACTGTGCCACTGCACTCCAGCCTGGGTGACAGAGGGGGACGCCATTGCAAAAACAAAACAAAGAAAAGCAAACAAACAAAGAGGTCTTCCAGAGCCAGAATTTTAGAGCGACGACCCAGCGGACTGGGGGCAGAGGCCTGAATGCAGTTCCGTTATGACATCCTCGCTGTGTGACCCTGAACTGATGGCTTTCCCTCTCTGAAATTCTCCCTCTCAATTTCTCAACTGTTAAATGAGATAGATAATGGGACAGGCAGCACGGAGGCACTGTGGACATCGGAGGCCAGATCTTTCTCTGGAGTGGGGCCATCCTGGGCCCTGCAGGGTGCTGAGCAGCGCCCCTGGCCTCCACCCACTCCACGCCAGGGGCACCTCCAAGTTGTGACAACCACAGATGTCCCGACATTGGCAAGTGCCCCTCCACTGACACGTTGACCACTGGCTTAGGGCTGGGTGAGCATTGAGCATTCAGACGTCAGTGTGGTCTATGATGCTTTAGACCCCTTTTTAATTTTTTTGAGACAGACTCTTGGTCTGTCGCCCCGGTTGGAGTGCAGTGGCATGATCTCCACTCACTGCAACCTCTGCCTCCTGGGCTCAAGCGATTCTCCTGTCTCAGCCTCCCGAGTAGCTGGGATTACAGGCATCTGCCACCACACATGAAGAATTTTTGTATTTTTCGTAGAGATGAGGTCATATTGGTCAGGCTGATCTTGAACTCTGACCTTGTGATCTGCCTGCCTCAGCCTCCAAAGTGCTGGGATTACGGGTGTAACCTTGAGCTAACCGATAGCCACTGCACTGGGCCCCCTTAAACACCTTTGGACAGTTGGAGGGAAAAGTGGGAACCGAGGCAGGAAAATGGAAAGTGACAGGCATTTGGGAAGGAGGGTGTCCTTGGAACTCCTCTCTCCTTTCACCCTTGGGGGTGGGGAAACCTCTGAGCTTCCTTCCAGAGAAGACACTGAAATGGATCTCCCAGCTCAGGGCTTCGAATTCCAATTGTCATTGTCTTCTCCACCCGTCCTCCTGGATGCCATACAAGATCAGAGCAAATGGCTGAGTGCGGTGGCTCACGCCTGTAATCCCAGCACTTTGGGAGGCTGAGGCAAGTGGATCACCTAAGGTCAAGAGTGCGAGATCAGCCTGGGCAACATGGAGAAACCACGTCTCTACTAAAAATAGGAAAAATTAGCCAGTCGTGGTGGCGCACACCTGTAATCCCAGCTACTCAGGACGCTGAGGCAGGAGAATCACTTGAACCTGGGAGGCGGAGGTTGCAGTGAGCCAAAGTCGTGCCACCATTACACTCCAGCCTGGGTGACAGAATGAGAGTCTGTCTCAAAAAAAGAAAAAAAGGCCAGGCACGGTGGCTCATGCCTGTAATTCCAGCACGATGGGAGGCTGAGGTGGGCGGACCACAAGGTCAGGAGTTGGGAGACCAGCCTGGCCAATATGGTGAAACCCTGTCTTTACCAAAAATACAAAAATGCCGGGCGCAGTGGCTCACGCCTGTAATCCCAGCACTTTGGGAGGCCGAGGCGGGTGGATCACGAGGTCAAGAGATCGAGACCATCCTGGTCAACATGGTGAAACCCCGTCTCTACTAAAAATACAAAAAATTAGCTGGGCATGGTGGCACGTGCCTGTAATCCCAGCTACTCGGGAGGCTGAGGCAGGAGAATTGCCTGAACCCAGGAGGCGGAGGTTGCGGTGAGCCGAGATCGCGCCATTGCACTGCAGCCTGGGTAACAAGAGCGAAACTCCGTCTCAAAAAATAAAAAAAAAAAAAAATACAAAAATTAGCTTGGCACGGTGGTGCGTGCCTGTAGTTCCAGCTCCTCGGGAGGCTGAGGCAGGAGAATCACTTGAACCCAGGAGGTGGAGGTTGCAGTGAGCCGAGATCGCACCACTGCACTCCAGCCTGGGCGACAGAGCGAGACTCCATCTCAAAAAGAAAAAGAAAAAAAAGATCAGAGCAAATACCCCTGGGAGTCCTGTGAGGTATGCCAGGGATACCACAAACCCGCCAGGCTTCATCCAAGCCCTGGTATCACCCTGACACCTCTCTCTCGCCCCACACTTGTCCACCAGCCAAGCCTGCTACCGGCACACTGTGTCATGGTCCGCCCCTTCTCGCCCCTTCTCACCCCTTCCGCGGCCCCCACCTTAGTCCCACCCCACCACTGCAGGTTCCTCCTCAGGGACGCATCCTTCCTGGTCTCCATCCTCTGACCTTGTCGCCTTGTCCCTTCTCCCTCAGCAGCCAGAGGCAACTTCCTAAGCCCTGCATTGGATCTCCTCTCTCTGCTGCACAAAAGCCTCCAGAGACCTCACTCAGCTTAAAATGCAAACTGCTCCTGGCAGCCCAGACCCTGCCCACTGCCTGTTTCCGCAGAGAATGGTATTCACACGTGTGAGTTGCTGGGGCGGAAAAAGCAAAATAAGAATCATCCTTCCTGACACGTGAAAAATGATACGAAATTCACATTTCTGGCTAGGTGCGGTGGCTCACGCCTACAGTCCCGGCACTTTGGGAGGCCGCGGTGGGCTGATCGCCTGAGGTCAGGAGTTTGAGACTAGCCTGGCCAACATAGTGAAACCCTGTCTCTACTAAAAATACAAAAATTAGCTGGGTGTGGTGGTGCACGCCTGTAACCGCAGCTACTCGGGAAGCTGAGGCAAGAGAATCGCTTGAAGCTGGAGGTTGCAGTGAGCCGAGATTGCGCCACTGCACTCCAACCTGGGCAACAGAGCCACACTCCATCTCAAAAAATAAAAAAAAAAAATCACATTTCAGTGTCCCTAAATAAAGTTTCACTGGGGCCAAGTCCTGCCCGTTCATTTACAGATGTTTGGATGCCACGTGCATGGCAGGAAAAAAAAAAGAAAAAATATATAGTCAAAGGCTACTCTCAGGCTGCAATGGCAGAGCTGAGGCTGGAGCGCAGTGGTGCGATCTCAACTCACCACTCACTGCAACCTCTGCCTCCCGAGTTCAAGCGATTCTCCTGCCTCAGCCTCCTCAGTAGCAGGGATTACAGGCACTCACCACCATGTGGGTTTTCACCATGTTGGCCAGGCTGGTCTTGAACTCCTGACCTCAGGCAGTCCGCCCACCTCAGCCTCCCAAGGTGCTGGGGTCACAGACACGGGCCACCTCACCCCGCCATCGTCTCCTCTTACATTTCCCTTGCCACAGCAGCCTCCTTGTTCTTCAGACAGCTGGGTCCCCCCTCGCCTGGAGCACCTGCCCCGCCGTGCACACCCCTGCCTCCTGGATTCAAGCGATTCTCCTGCCTCAGGCTCCCAAGTAGCTGTGATTACAGGTGCCTGCCACCATTAGACACCCAACTAATGCCTGCATTTTTAAATAGAGACGGGGTTATGTATGTTGGCCCTGGCTCAAACTCCTGGCCTCAAATGTTCCACCCGCCCCGGCCTCCCAAACTGCTGGGATTACAGGCATGAGCCCCCTTCATCGCTCTTATCGCTGCCTAAGATAATATGTATCTTTTAAAAAAATATTCTGTTTACTCTTATTTTTTATTTTTACTTTTATTTATTTATTTGGGGACAGGGTCTTGCTCAGTCGCCTAGGCTGGAGTGCAGTGGCGCCATCACAGTTCACTGCAGCCTCGACCTCCTGGGCTCAGGTGATCCTCCCGCCTCGACCACCTAAAGTGCTGGGATTACAGGCGTGAGCCACCGCATCCAGCTTGTTTCCTCTTGAGCTCTCTCTTAGAAAGTTGCCCCCTCAGGGACAGCCATGTTTGTCTATCTTGGACTCTGCTGTATTCCACACAGGACCGGCTATAGATTTTGCAGGGATCACTGCAAAATGAAAACACGAGGCCTAGCCAGGCATGGGGGCTCACACCTGTAATCCCAGCACTTTGGGAGGCTGAGGCGGGAGGACCACTTGAGGCCAGGAGTTCAAGACCAGCCTGGGCAATATGGCGAGACCTCATCTCTAAAACAAAAACAAAAGCATACTTAAGTAAATAAATTATATATATAAATACAAAAGAAAGAGAGAGAGAGGACTTTCCAGGAAGCATTGAGGTATGGAGTCTGTGAATCTAGAAACCCCAATCTTCGGCCAGGCACAGTGACTCACTCCTGTAATCCCAGCGCTTTGGGAGGCCGATGTGGGTGGATCACAAGGTCAGGAGTTCGAGACCAGCCTGGCCAACATAGTGAAACCCTGTCTCTACTAAAAACATTTTAAAAAGTATCCAGGTATGTTGGCTGGGCCCTGAAGTCCCAGCTACTTGGGAGGCTAAGGCAGGAGAATCCCTTGAATACTGGAGGCGGAGGCTCCAGTGAACCGAGATCACACAACTGCACTCCAGCCTGGGCAACAGAGCGAGTATCAAAAGAAATAAATGTATAGGCCAGGTGCAGTGGCTCACACCTGTAATCCCAGCATTGTGGGAGGCCAAGACGGGCAGATCACCTGAGGTCAGGAGTTCGAGACCAGCCCGGCCAACGTGGCGAAACCCTGTCTCTACTAAAAATACAAAAATTAGCCTGGCGTGGTAGCAGGTGCCTGTAATCCCAGCTACTCAGGAGCCTGAGGCAGGAGAATCTATTGAACCTGGGAGGCGGAGGTTGTGATGAGCCGAGATCACACCTCTGCACTCCAGCCTGGGAGACGGAGTGACAGTCCGTCTCAAAATAAACAAATAAAATAAAATAAAAGTAAATAAATAAACAAGAAAGAGCCAGAGTTAGAGGCCAGGAAAGGCACGGAGAGAGGCCGCCAGGCAGGGATAAGGACAGGAGGAGGGGGCTAGCAGTGGCTAGAAGACACAGAACACAAGGTCTCTGGAGAGGAGGAGGCCGGGGCCCTGCAGTCACGGGTGTTTGCTTTCTTCCCTTGGGGCTGCTGTATAAAAGCTGAACTTGACTCCGGCTGCCTGCTGCGAATTGGAGAAGGGCAGGTGGAGGGCGGGATGGCGACATGGCCCGGGAGGGGAGGGTGGGGGCCAGGCGGCTTCCCATCAACGGCCAGGCCTCCCGTCTGCTGCCACAGCTCCATCTCAGGAGCTCCTTCAGCTCCAGACACCCCCGGAGGCCCTCACATCCGTCTGAGCTTTTAACACCTACCCTGTCCCCATCCAGTTTTGACTTTGTCCCCACCCCTCCCATTGCAAACATATCAAAACACACCCACGTCCCAGATGAGGCATCTCTTTTTAGCTACCCACACTTCTTGAAAGATTTGATTGAAATATTAAATCTAACTCTGCTTTGGAAAGTAAACAATTGCATGGCTTGGTTTGCCCGTGGCTTGAGGGGACAAAAGGGACAACGCAGAGTGGACCCCTGAACACAGCTGTGAATGCCCAGGTCCACTTACATGCATATTTTTTTTGGTCTGTTTTTTGAGACACAGTCTCACTCCATCACCCAGGCCGGAGTGCAGTGGCGCAATCTGGGCTCACTGCAGCCTCTGCCTCCTGGGTTCAAGCAATTCTCCTCCCTCAGCCTTCCAAGCAGCTGGGACTATAAGCATATACCACCAGGCCCGGCTAATTTTTGTATTTTTAGTAGAAATGGGGTTTCACCATGCTGGCCAGGCTGGTCTCAAACTCCTGACCTCAGGTGACCTGCCCCTGTCAGCATCGCGAAGTGCTGAGATTACAGAAGCAAGCCGCCACACCCAGCCTATACATGGACTTCTGACCGTACAGGGGGGTCAGCTGTAATTGCTCAAGGGTCATATAATCAAGAAACTGATTCCAAGTTGGATGAAAAATTCTAGGATCACTCCACAGTGAATGAAGCTCACCTAACGCCACGTTTTGCAGGCAGTTAATGAGCCATTTTTCATGTCTTTCTCTCCTGCCGTCTGTCTCCACCTGTTCTCTTCTCAATCAATGCACTCCCCTCCCACCTCCAGGCCAGTCACGTTCACAGTAACACAGCCCAGGGGAAGGCTGGTGTCTCACTCCCTAGCTGTGTGACCTTGAGCAGGTGTCTTAACCTCTCTGGCTTCCCTCACTCATCTATAAAATGAAGATAATAGGGCCAGGCGTGGTGGCTCACGCCTGTAATCCCAGAACTTTGGGCGGCCGAGGCGGGTAGATCACGAGGTCAAGAGATCAAGACCATCCTGGTCAACATGGTGAAACCCTGTCTCTACTAAAAATAGAAAAAATTAGCTGGGCATGGTGGCGCGTGCCTGTAATCCCAGCTACTCGGGAGGCTGAGGCAGGAGAATTGCCTGAACCCAGGAGGCGGAGGTTGCGGTGAGCCGAGATCGCGCCATTGCACTCCAGCCTGGGTAACAAGAGCGAAACTCCATCTCAAAAAAAATGAAGGTAATAAAGCCCCTGCCTCATAGCATGGCGGTGAGGATTAAATGAGCTGACGCCTGCAAAGTACATCGTAAGTTCTTTATAAGTGCTCAAAAATCAACAAAATGAAAATAAAATCAATAAACCAGGCATGGCACTGCACGCCTATAGTCCCAGCTACTTGGGAGCTGAGGCCGGAGGATCCATTGAGCCCAGGGGCTTGAGACCAGCCTGGGCAACATAGTGAGACGCCATCTCCTAAAAGAGCTAGGAATGGTGGCTCACGCCTGTAATCCCAGCCCTTTGGGAGGCTGAGGCAGGAGGATCACTTGAGGCAGGAGTTTCAGACCAGCCTGGCCAACATGGTGAAACCCCGTCTCTACCAAAAATACAAAAAATTTGCTGGGCATGGTGGTGTGCACCTGTAGTCCCAGCTACTCGGGAGGCTGAGGTGTAAGAAAAGGCTGAGGCACTGCAACCTCTGCCCCACTTGAAACCAGGAGGCGGAGGTTGCAGGGAGCCAAGATGACAGCACTGCCTCCAGCCTGGCCAACAGAGTGAGACTCATCTCAAAAAAAAAGAGGCCCGTGGCTCACGCCTGTCATCCCAGCACTTTGGGAGGCTGAGGTGGGCAGATCACCTGAGGTCAGAAGTTCAAGACCAGCCTGGCCAACATGGTGAAACCCCGTCTCTACTAAAAATACTAAAAATTAGCTGGGTGAGGTTGCAGGCACCTGTAATCCCAGCTACTGTGGAGGCTGAGGCAAGAGAATCATTTGAACCAGGAGGCGGAGGTTGCAGTGAGATTGCCCCATTGCATTCCAGCCTGGGCAACAGAGTGAAATTCCATCTCAAATAAAAAAGAAAGAAAGAAAGAAAACAAAAAAAATTAAACAAATAAAAGTGATTTTAATGATATTAACAATTTTTAAGTAAAATGAATGAAATAAATGGGAACATGAAAATTAATAGTTTAAAAATAAAATAAAATTGGCTGGGTGCAGTGGCTCACGCTTGTAATCCCAGCACTTTGGGAGGACAAGGTGGGCGGATCATTTGAGGTCTGGAGTTCAGGATCAGCCTGACCAATATGGTGAAACCCAGTCTCTACCAAAAATACAATAAAATTAGCCAGCCATGGTGGCAGACACCTGCAGTCCCAGCTATTCGGGAGGCTGAGGCGGGAGGATCACTTGAGGCCAGGAGTTTAAGACCAGCCTGGGCAACACAGCTGGACCTCGTCTCAACAAAAAACAAAAATTAGCCCAGTGTGGTGGTGCACACCTGTATTTCTGCACTTTGGGAGGCTGGGACAGGAGGATCGTTTGAGCCCAGGAGTTGGAGGCTGCAGTCAGCTGAGATCACACCACTGCACTCTAGCTTGGGCAACAGAACGAGACTCTGTCTCAAAAAATGCCAGGTGCGGTGGCTCATGCCTATAATCCCAGCATACTTTGGGAGGCTGAGGCAGGTGGATGACCTGAGGTCAGGGGTTCAAGATCAGTCTGGACAACATGGTGAAGCCCCACCTCTACTAAAAATATAAAATTAGCTGTGTGGTGGTGCATGCCTATAATCCCAGCTACTCAGAAGGCTGCGGCAGGAGAATTGCTTGAACCCAGGAGGTGGAGGCTGCAATGAGCCGAGATCGCACAACTGCACTCCAGCCTGGGCAACAGGTGAAACTCCATCTTTAAATAAATAAATAAACAAGTAAATAAAGGCTCGTTCCATGGGCCCTTTTTTGGCTTTCAAAGATGCCCCATCCTGGGCTCCCACTCACTCGCACTCTCTGCTCCTGCCAAGAGTCTGCCTGTCAATCAAGCAGACCTGGTCCAGCCTCCGAATCTTTGCCCACACGGGTCCACGCCCCACTCCTCACGTGCCTGCCTTCACTCCTCTAACCCTCCCTATTCCTCCAGGCTCTGCTCTGATGCCGCCACCTTTAAGCAGACTGTCTGATTTCTCCAGGCCACACCGGATGGGGAGGTATATCTCATGATGGGAAAACTGAAGGCTCTAAGTCCAGCTTGCCCACCAGGCCAGGCACAAAGAGGTGCTCGGGAAGGCTGACCGTCTGTCCCTGCAGGTGAACCCTCACTTTTTTTTTTTTTTTGAGACAGAGTTTCACTCTTGCTGTCCAGGCTGGAGTGCAGTGGCAGGATATGGGTTCACCGCAACCTCTGCCTCCTGGGTGCAAGCGATTCTCCTGCCTCAGCCTCCCGAGTAGCTGGAATTACAGGCGAGCGACACCACATCCAGCTAATTTTATATATTTAGTAGAGCCTGTTGGCCAGGCTGGTCTCGAACTTCCAACTGCAGGTGATCGGCCGCCTCGGCTTGAATCCTCACTTTCATCGTCTCCATCTGTGCCCTGAACTGGTCGCCACAGGGGCATGGGGGGCTGAGAGGGAGTGGGGATGGCTGAGGAAGAAGCATGTCTTTCTAGGAGTTCACAGCTGAAGACGCAGATGCAAGAAAAGACAGCTAGATCTACCTGAGGGCCTTCGCACTGGCTATTCCAGCCACCTGGAATGCAACTCCTGCGAACCCAACACCTCCCCTCCCCTCCCCCTCCCCCCTCCCCTTTCTTTTTCTTTTTTTGAGACGGAGTCTTGCTCTGTTGCCCAGGCTTCAGTGCAATGCAGTTGGCTCACTGCAACCTGGGTTCAAGCAGTTCTCCTGCCTCAGCCTCCCGAGTAGCTGGGATTACAGGTGCCCACTACCAATCAATGCCCAGCTAATTTGTGCATTTTTAGTAGAGATGCAGTTTCACCATGTTGGCCAGGCTGGTCTCGAACTCCTGACCTCAAGTGATCTGCCTGCCTCGGCCTCCCAAAATGCTGGGATTACAGGCATGAGCCACCATCCCTGGCTTTCCCCGCCCCTTTCTAATTTTTGCTCTAATGTCACCTTCTCAGGGAAGCCTTCCCTGGCCATCCTCTTTAAAACTGCAACCACCCCCCCTGCCCTGGATGCTTCCGTTCCCTTTCCTGCTGTCTGTCTTCTCGGCACAAAATGATATTTTCACTTATTTATCTTGTTTCACGCTCATCTGTCCCACTCAGCGGTCGGCTCAACACGAAAGGACTTTCGTCGGCCTTGTTCCCCGGCTCCTGCTGTGCGGAACAGCGCATGCTATTTAAATGTGTGCTGAGTAGACACGCTCCAAAGCGAGAGAACAGGGTACCCTGGAAAGTGGGTCACTGCGGCCGGGGAGGGGGAGATTGGATGAAGAGGGGGTACGAGGAGGGTCTGACAGGTGGACGCAGGGAGAAGGTATTGCATGGGGAGAGGACTGCCTGGGCCAGGGTATGCCGGCTGCAAAGCTTGTACGGGGCGCAGTGAGGAGGTCAGGGCGCCAGGGGGCAGCAGAGAGGAAAGGAGAAGAGGCGGGCACTGAAATGAACGAGTGATGGATCCTCAAAAGCCTGAAGATTGGGGGGCGTGTACCGGGCATCCAGGGCTCACACTCACCTCTGTCTTCTTAAATCGTGCCCTGAGAGTCTTCATGGTTGGTATCTGCGTTTCTCCTCTCCGCAGGCCACCTGACGAAGGGGAAGGGTGGGGGTAGGGTAAGGGACACCAATCCTGGTGGGCGGGAGGGTCCGTTGCGTCCCCCTCCTCAAAAGGACCACTTCTTCCTCCCTGACCAGTCCTGGCCCCTAGAGCAAGACACGGGCCTGCTCTATCTCCTACCTACTGTGTGCCCTTTGGGAGGTTACCCGACCTCTCTGTTTTACTTTCCTCATCTATAAAATGAGAGAAATGATCCTTTCTTTACCATCTCGTGGTCAGTTTTCAGTATGGTCCCTCCATAGAGCCTGGCCACACACGAGGAGCTCAATAAATGCATGTCATTAGTATTTCCTGTTGCCCAAACAGATCAAGACTTTTCTGGTCTCCTAACTTTTCTCTGTGTAGGCATTTCCGTTTAGAATGGGTTCTTTGTACGTCTCTGAACTCCTACTCATCCTTCAAAGCCCAGTTCCAAAATCCCTTGCCCTGATCAGCTTTGCCTTTGATTTGGAAGCAGAGATCTAACTCACCAAATGGGGTTCCCGCCTACCCCGGTTTGGTGTCTTCCTCTGCCTCACCCCTGGCTCCATGGGCTGGAAGGGTCTGGGCTGGTTCTGTCTTTTTCAACAGTCAGCGGCTCCTTAGGGACTGAACCCAGGGCTGACGGCTCTCAGCACAGAGGCATGTTTGCCAGACAGTCAGAGGAAACCTCCACTCAGCTAAGCCCCCTCACACCGGTGTGGCCTCTGTGTGAGTGACAGCAATTCGCCCATAGTGGGTGGCGGTCTGGGACCATGGCTGCATGCACATCCGTCCACCTGGGCCTGTTCCATGTTCAGCATGTGCAGGCACAGAGGTCAGGCAGGAACATCTCAAGGGGGTTATTTAAGGAGTGTGACTCTGGGACCCGATGTCTGAAAGGGATCTCTGCGAATGAGAATCTATATTTGACTCTTACCGGGGAGTAGGGGTTGGGATGGCCTCTACCCATCCACCTACCTACTTGTGAATTCTCCAAGCCACCCTTCCACCCATTTACCACCAATGTACTCACCTGGGCATTCAACCTCCCACCCAAGCACTGTACACCCACCCACTGGCCGCCACCCACTAACTCACCCACCCGATTCATGTTCTCATGATTCCTCATCACCCTTTAATCAGGCTTCACCCTCCACATCCATCACCCACCCAAACACCCACCCAAACACCCACCATCTGCCACCATTCACCCATCCACTCATCCACCCATCCATCAACTTATCCATCCCTTCATCCATCTACTCATCCATCAACCCAACTACCAATCCATCCATCCATCCATCCATCCATCCCTCCCTCCCTCCATCCATCCACTCAACCATCAATCCCTCCACCCATCCATCCACTTATCCATCCCTTCATCCATCTACTCATCCATCAACCCAACCAACCCATCCATCCATGCATCCATCCATCCCTCCCTCCATCCACTCAACCATCAATCCCTCCACCCATCCATCCACTTATCCATCCCTTTATCCATCCACCTATCCATCTACTCAACCACCAATCCATCCATCCCTCCCTCCATCCACCCATCAATCCCTCCACCCATCCATCCATCTGCCTACCCAATCACCCACCCACCCATCTACCCATCTACTTATCCACCCATCCCTCCACTTATCCATCCCTCCATCCATCCTCCCAACCACCAATCCATTCATCCACCCACCCACCCACCCACCTGTCCATCCATCCATCCATCCATCCATCCATCCAAGGATCTATCCATCCATCCATCCACTTATCCAATCCTCCATCAATTTGCCCAACCACCCATCCATCCACCCAACCACCAATCCATCCATTTACCCAACTGTCCCTTCTCCCATGCATCTACTCATCCGTCCATCCACCCACTCATCCACCCGTTCATCTACCCAATCATCAATCCACGCATCCATCCATCCATCTTCCCAACCATCAATCCATCGATTCATCCACCCATCCATTCACTTACCCCTCCACCAGCACCCATTCACTCACCACCTACCCTGTTTTCTTCTGCCCCTGACGAGAATTCAATCACACCCAAAGCAGGGGTAATAAGACACCCAAGACAGGAGTTCACAGGCTGCTTGGGAGAAGACAATCCGTGGGCTTGGGGGAGGGAGAAACGCACGCTAAATTTAGGGAGCTGCTTGCTGGAAGAGGTGACGGTAAATAAGAAGGGCCTGATGTCCGGGTGGGATGCTGAGCACCCGCCTTGGAGGATGCTAGGCAGGGCACAGGCCAGCAGGTGGGAAGTGCGTGCGTGAATGAGTGCATGTGTGTGCTGGGGTGCCTGGGTAGCTCAGAAACCTGGCTGGGACCCAGCACAGCTTCTTTCTCCCACACACAAGGGCTCAGGGGCCTGGGGCCCTAAAGGGATCCTCCAACCTGGGCCTCTCCCACCTCCTTCCTCCGTACCTCCTGCAGCTCCAGTGCCCCGAGCTCCCGGCCGCAGTGCCCACTGCCGACTCCGGTTACCCACTCCCAGCTGGGCCCCGAGAAGCTCCAGCAGCTCTACTCTGACACCTGATCAGCTCTGAGCGGGCGGCCGCCCCAGGGGGCTGGGGATGAGCCGAGGGAGGAGACAGGCTGGCAGCGGCTCTGGCGGGAAGACACCCACGATCTTCCCTATCATCACTGGACTGATTTCAGATTCTGGAAGGAGCCACGCTCTTCCTGTCTCCTCAGCCTTTGCACTTGCTGTTTCCCCCACTGGGAACATTCTTTCTATATTTCAAGTCACTCCCAACCGGCTCTACCTGACTCATGCACTCTTTAGATCTTTGCTGCAACATCCCCTCCTCCAGGAAGCCCTCCTGGATGCCCCCAAGCTGGGTCAGGTGCCTCCTGTGAGCCCCCTCGCTGCCCTGTGCCCTCTGCATCCCCCATTGCACCGCAACCACACCATGTCACCATTACCTGATCACATCTTTGTGTCCACCCCCAGCCACCAGGGCAGGGACGGTACCATCTTTGTTCCCCAGTGTGCCCAGTGCACAGTAGGTGCTCAACACATGATTCTTAAATAAGCCCTCCAGGCCACCAGCCCCAGTGACCACGAGCAGGAAGTGTCCTGCAAAATTCAGAGCCTCCACTTGTATGATATTCAGATAACCTGGCCCGGCGCGGTGGCTGACGCCTGTAATCCCAACACTTTGGGAGGCCGAGGCGGGTGGATCACCTGAGGTGAGGGGTTCGAGACCAGCCTGGGCAACATGGTGAAACCCCATCTCTACTAAAAAACACAAAAATCAGAAAAAAGAAAAAAAAAAATTAGCTGGGCGCGGTGGTGGGCGTGTGTAATCCCAGCTCCTCGGAAGGCAGAGGCAGGAGAAACGCTTGAACCCGGGAGGAGGTTGCAGAGAGCTGAGACTGCGCCATTGCATTCCAGCCTGGGCGACAAAGCGAGGTTGTCTTACAAAAAAAAAAAAAAAATTCAGATAATTCAGGGTGGCATTCAAGACCCTTGGACTAGGGGGTCCCTGCTGTCTGGCACTGTCCTTATGGAATTTACTAACACGTAAAACGGGGTTATGGGGGCATCGATAGCCTGCGTCCCTCATTTTAGAGGTGACTGGAGGACTCTCACGTAGGCGGCCGCCCCAATTTCCCGCTCGGGTCATCGGGCAGCCCCTTCCCAAACCCCGAGAATGCCTGCAGCCAAGAAATCGGGTTTCCTTCCGACAGCAGTTAACATGGCTCCTGCGGCGTCAGCACGCGGCGCATGCGCCTTGCCGAGGGAGGCAGGGTTCGCGGAACAGGAACGCGGCTCCTCCTTCCTCCCCGCCGCGCCCCGCTTCCGGCGGAAGCGGCCTCAACAAGGGAAACTTTATTGTTCCCGTGGGCGCGGCGAGGATGTCGGTGAATTACGCTGCGGGGCTGTCGCCGTATGCGGACAAGGGCAAGTGCGGCCTCCCCGAGGTGAGCGCATCCGGGGATCCCGAGGGTCGCTCCCAACGCCGTTGGCAGGGAGGGTCCGGACGGCAGCAGGGCATTGTGGGAATATCAGGAGACACTGAGGCTAGACAATGGGAGGGACTTCCCAGTGAGGAAGGGGCGGGAAGTGACACCCCTGCGCACCCGGGGACGCGAACACGCCCAACTCTGTGGCCACCGGCCGGGGCTGGTCGGGGAGAGCGGGGGTGTGTAGTTCCAGGAGGAGGGGACGGCAGGCGCAAGGGCAGGGTGGTGGAATAAACGCACCTGGAGAACGATTAGGCCGGGGAGGTTTCCAGAGCCGGGCCAGGGCGGGGCTCAAATGCCAGGCTGGGGAGTTGGCACCTTCTCCCGAGGGGGATGGAGAAGGGTCTTGCCCTGGCGAGGGGCCTGGACAGAATGTGCCAGGAAGATCCCTCCAGCCACTCGGAGGGGAAGTGGAGGGGTCGGCTGTCCCCTCCGCGCCCGGTGGGAAGTCACTTCAGTTCTGGGTCCCCATCCCCATCCTTTCTGCGGAGGCTGTCGCCTGCGTGAAGATGGCCCCGTCCCATAAAGGCTGACCCATGCATTCCGAGTCTTGCATTTAGTGAGCGCTGACGGTGTGTCTGTCCAGAAGCCGCGCTCTTCATTGCTGCTGTCAGTCACTTTATTTATTTACCTACTTATTTTGAGGCGGAGTCTTCCTCTTGTCACCCAGGCTGGAGTGCAATGGCGCGATCTCGGCTCATTGCAACCTCCACCTCCTGGGTTCAAGCAATTCTCCTGCCTCAGCCTCCCAAGTAGCTGGGATTACAGGCACGCGCCACCACGCCCGGCTAATTTTTGTATTTTTAGTAGAGACGGGGTTTCACCATGGCCAGGATGGTCTTGATCTCTTGACCACGTGATCCGCCCACCTCAGCCTCCCAAAGTGCTGGGATTACAGGCGTGAGCCACCGCGCCCGGCCTGTTAGTCACTTTCTTCCACCAACATTGATGGAGCACCTGCTGTGGGTCAGGCACTTTCTAGGTAAGGGGGCCACAGTCAGGAGCAAGACAAGTTAACCCCTCTTTCTAATAAGGGAGACTGACTAGGGGTTGTATGGAAACCAGGTGGCCAAGGGAGGCGTCACTGTCGCTGAGGTGACATCTGACCCACAAGTTACAGGAGGTGAAGGAGGCATCCATGTGGGTATCTGGGGGAAGAGCACTCAAGGGTGTGGGGACAGCCTGTGCGGAGGCCTTGAGGCAGGACTGTGCCTGGCGTGATGGAGGAAGAGGGAGGAGGCCTCCCTGCGTGGCTGGATCAGAGTGAGTGACGCTGGGAAGGGAGCAGAAGAGAACATGAGGGGGCAGGGCTAGGGCTTTAACAAGGCAGGTGGGAGCCACGGAGGTCTGTAGGCAGAGGACACACATGAGGACAAGCTGCCTTTTCCAATCTATTTCCTGCCCCAGGCAAGAAAGGGACAGCTCGGTCTGTGGCTCGTGTATGGCCTGGCCACTTGCGGGACCTGTTCTGACCCCTCCATCTGCTCCTTCCCCCTACAGATCTTCGACCCCCCAGAGGAGCTGGAGCGGAAGGTGTGGGAGCTGGCGAGGCTGGTCTGGCAGTCCTCCAACGTGGTGTTTCACACAGGGGCCGGCATCAGCACCGCCTCTGGCATCCCCGACTTCAGGTCTGTGAGTGAGTGTGCAGGGGACATCGGGGCAAGGCCCACCAGCCTGCCACGGCCTTCCCCGTGAGCCACACAACTAGGCATTAGGGCCCATCCATCTTCCTTCCTTCCTTCTGGATGTGTCCTGGACACTGGGGAGGGCTGATATTCCCTCCCTTTAGGACGTGTCCCTTGAAATCACAACCAGCATTCCACTCACCCCCTTGGCCTGATCACACCTGGCTGGAAAAAAAAAAAATCAGAATTCCAAGGCGTGAATTTTTCCTCCTCCTCCTCTTCCATAACCTGCTGTGGCTCCCCATTACCAGGCAGGAAGAATTCTGAATTCCTGGTGCTGGAAGCTCAAGCCCTTTGTTCCTGGCCCAGCCCCGAATCACCTCTCCAGCGTCAGCTCCTCCTGCCCCTGCTACAGCCCCCAAACACTTGCATTTTCTCCTAAACTCATGGGTTCTTCCCAGCACCCCGGCGTCTGTTTACCCCTTCTGTCTGATATTCCCTCTCACCCTTCAAGAGACGCTCAGACTCCTCCAGGAAACCCTTCCACATGCCCCAGCGTCCCCACCACCTCCACTGGCCTTCCCCAGGCCCAGGTACCTCCTCTGATCCAGTCTTGACCCCGTGGGGCCAGAGGGTCTGTGTCCACCTGTCTCCCCCAAGATCAAGGGTTTCTGGAGGGCAGGGCTTGGGTCCATGTGCCCTGCCAGGCTCAGGGCAGCAGCAACCAAGTTGATTGAACTGAATAAGTCATTTTTGCCTTCGTGTGAATTCATCTCTCCCTCTCTCTGTCTCTCCCTCTCTCTGTCTGTCTCCAATTCTAACTTGACTTTGTCTTTAACTCGTTATATCTCTGTCTCTGTCTTATTCTGTCTCCCTCTCCCTGTTCTTCCAAATTTACCCTCTATTTCTTTCCGACTCCCTCTCTCTGCCTCCCTGCCTCTCTCTCTGTCTCCTGATTTTCTCTCTCTCCGTCTGTTTTTCTGTTCCCCTCTCCCCCTCCATCTCTCCCGGCCTGCCACCTTCAGGGGTCCCCACGGAGTCTGGACCATGGAGGAGCGGGGCCTGGCCCCCAAGTTTGACACCACCTTTGAGAGCGCACGGCCCACGCAGACCCACATGGCGCTGGTGCAGCTGGAACGCGTGGGTCTCCTCCGCTTCCTGGTCAGCCAGAACGTGGACGGGCTCCATGTGCGCTCCGGCTTCCCCAGGTAACACCCTGGCCCCGCCCCCCAGGACTGCTCGGGGCTCCACAAACCGTGTTTACATTTTTAGGGGGAGAATCCCCTTTTCCTCGTCCTCTAAGATTCTAGCCCTGAGCTCTCTGGGTCTTTCTTGGCCTACTGGGTGGAGGTTTCTGAGTCCCATGACTCAACAGCTGTCCCCACCAGAGTCAGAGGCAGAATTTCCCTCGGGGTGGGGCTCAGGGGAGGAGAGCTGTCAGGGTCTAGAAGTTACAGTTTTATTTTTGTTTTTGTTTTAAGGCAAAGTCTTGCTCTGTCGCCCAGGCTGGAGTGTAATGCTGTGATCTCAGCTCACTGCAACCTCCGCCTCCCACGTTCAAGTGATTCTCCCATCTCAGCCTCCTGAGGAGCTGGGATTACAGATGCCCGCCCCCACGCCCAGCTAATTTTTGTATTTTTATTAGAGATGGGGTTTCACCACGTTGTCCAGGCTGGTCTTGAACTCCTGACTTCAGGTGATCCACCCACCTCAGCCTCCCACAGTGCTGGGATGACAGGCGCGAGCCACCGCACCCAGCCGCTGTGTTTTTAGTGTCCATTTTTATTAATATCCGTCTTGGCCGGGCGCGGTGGCTCAAGCCTGTAATCCCAGCACTTTGGGAGGCCGAGGCGGGTGGATCACGAGGTCAAGAGATCGAGACCATCCTGGTCAACATGGTGAAACCCCGTCTCTACTAAAAATACAGAAAATTAGCTGGGCACGGTGGCGCGTGCCTGTAATCCCAGCTACTCAGGAGGCTGAGGCAGGAGAATTGCCTGAACCCAGGAGGCGGAGGTTGCGGTGAGCCGAGATGGCGCCATTGACTCCAGCCTGGGTAACAAGAGCGAAACTCCGTCTCAAAAAAAAAAAAAAAAAAAAAAAATCCATCTTTACTCGTCTGACGCTGATCGTGAACACTGCTGTGGGGCAGGCTGGTTTCTAACAGAAGTGTGGCCCTCTCTGCCCCTCTTGGTCGGGTCTCACCCTGGGGCAACCAGTGACAGCCAGGTGAGCGTTGAGACGAGCAGATGGGCACCCAGGGGTGAGAATTGAGGAAGAGATTTTTCTCTGCTTATAAAAGCAAAGCGGGGCAGGGCGCGGTGGCTCACACCTGTAACCCCAGCATTTTGGGAGGCCAAGGCGGGCGGATCACCGGATGTCAGCAATTCAAGACCAGCCTGGCCAACATGGTGAAACCCCACATCTACTAAAAATACATAAAAAAATTACCTGGACATGGTGGAGGGAGCCTGTAATCCCAGCTACTCGGGAGGCTGAGGCAGGAGAATCACTTGAACCAGGGAGTTAGAGGTCGCAGTGAGACGGTGCCGCTGCACTCCAGCCTCATGACAGAGCGAGACTCTGTCCAAAAATAGATAAATCAATCAATTAAATAAATAAAGCTGCCGGGCGAGGTGGCTCACGCCTGTAATCCCAGCACTCTGGGAGGCCGAGGTGAGGAGTTTGAGATCAGCCTGACCAAACATGGCAAAACCCCATCTCTACTAAAAGTACAAAAAATTAGCCAGGTGTGCTAGCGGGCACCTATAATTCCAGCTACTCAGGAGGCTGAGGCAGGAGAATCGCTTGAACCCAGGAGGCGGAGGTTGCAGTGAACTGAGATTGCACCACTGCACTCCAGCCTGAGGGGCAGAGCGAGACTCTGTCTTAAAAAAAAAAAAAAAGAAATACATAAAATGAAGCTAGGATTGGATCTCATGCTTCACTCCCTCCGGAGCCCGTGCCTCAACACGACTCTGCCTCAGTGTCTTCTATTGTAAACTGGGAATTCGCATTCCTGGGCCTCTAACCTGGTGACATCAAGAGATTCCCATAGCTCTTGGTGGGGGACGGGGATTTTGTGAATAGAATGGGCTTCCCGTTATCTAAGGTGGGTTCAGCCACAGAGGTTAATGATTTCTTGGGTTCAGACAGATTGGGTTACTTGCCCAGAGATGCACAGATGAATGGTAGAGCTAGGAGCTAGAAGAGCCAGAAAGAAGTTGATATTGTGGGAAAGGAGTCAGGGAAGGCTTCCTGGAGGAGGGGCTTACCAGCAGCCCCAAAGCCTGGGCATCCAGGGAGCCCTCCTCACCATCAAGCCTCTTCCTTCTCCTCTCACAGAGACAAACTGGCAGAGCTTCATGGGAATATGTTCGTGGAAGAATGTGCCAAGTGTAAGACGTGAGTGCCACGTGGGGTCAGGGGTGGGGTCTTGGCTGCCCCCGGGTGGGTGCACGGGGTGGGCCATGCAGCCGCCATCCCTCCCCAGGGCGGGCCAGAGGGGGTTGGGGTCGAATCTGATGTCCCAGAGACCCAGAGGGTATGGGATACTGGTTGTGACCCTCCTGCGGGGTGTGAGGATCATCTCGTCCTCCTGGGGGGGATCTGAGGATCACTCTGTCCTCCTGGGGGTCTGAGGGTCACCCCGTCCTCCTGGGGGGTCTGAGAGTTATCCCTCCCTCCTGGAGGGTCTGAGGGTCACCCCGTCCTCCTGGGGGGTCTGAGGGTTATCCCTCCCTCCTGGAGCGTCTGAGGGTCACCCCGTCCTCCTGGGGGTCTGAGGGTCACCCCGTCCTCCTGGGGGTCTGAGGATCACCCCGTCCTCCTGGGGGTCTGAGGGTCACCCCGTCCTCCTGGGGGGTCTGAGGGTCACCCCGTCCTCCTGGGGGGTCTGAGGGTCACCCCGTCCTCCTGGGGGGTCTGAGGGTCACCCCGTCCTCCTGGGGGGTCTGAGGGTCACCCCGTCCTCCTGGGGGGTCTGAGGGTCACCCCGTCCTCCTGGGGGGTCTGAGGGTCACCCCGTCCTCCTGGGGGGTCTGAGGGTCACCCCGTCCTCCTGGGGGGTCTGAGGGTCACCCCATCCTCCTGGAGGGTCTGAGGGTCACCCCGTCCTCCTGGAGGGTCTGAGGGTCACCCCGTCCTCCTGGGGGGTCTGAGGGTCACCCCGTCCTCCTGGGGGGTCTGAGGGTCACCCCGTCCTCCTGGGGGGTCTGAGGGTCACCCCGTCCTCCTGGAGGGTCTGAGGGTCACCCCGTCCTCCTGGAGGGTCTGAGGGTCACCCCGTCCTCCTGGAGGGTCTGAGGGTCACCCCGTCCTCCTGGGGGGTCTGAGGGTCACCCCGTCCTCCTGGGGGGTCTGAGGGTCATGCCTTCCTCCTGGAGGGACTAGAGGGACATGCCTCCCTCCCAGGGAGTTACTTCCGTGTTCTGGCACTGCCATAGCAACCAGTAGATGAGCAGCTTAGAACAATAGAAATTTGTGATCTCACAGTTCTGGGGGCCAGAAGTCCAAAATCCAAGTGTCTGCAGGGCCGTGCCCCTCTGCAACCTGCCGGGAGGATTTTTCCTGCCTCTTCCTCGCTGCTGGCAGCAGCCAGACCCCCTTGGTGGTCCTGGGCTTACAGCTACAGGGGCCTTCTTATCTCCGAGTTTCTCCTCTTTTTTTATTTTTATACACATAGGGTCTCACTGTGTTGCCCAGGCTGGTCTCAAACTCCTGGCCTCAAATGATTCTCCCGCCTCGTCCTCCCAAAGTGCTGGGATTACAGGCGTGAGCCCCCGAGGCTGGTCCAGTATAACGGTTAAAGTCAGGAAAAGTAAAGGGGACATGGCCTTCTCCAATCCCTGGTTTGATTCCAGACCCAGCCGGTTGCCCCCAAGCTCTAGCTGTTCTGTTCCTCCTGGTCCGGGATGCCATGCGGGGTCCCGTCCCCAGCCCCAGGACCTTCTCCTACCTTTGTTTTCTGTGCCCTGGGAACTGAGCAGCGTCCCGGCCTGATGCTCATGGGAGGCTCCTCCTTCTGCATCACTCGGTGCTGAGTTCTGGCCACCTGTCCACCCCCGCGCCTCCCTGGGAGAATGTCCCCCTAGAAGCAGCTTGAGAGACACCCCCGGGGGCTGACTCGGCCCCGGCCTTCCCCTTCCTCCCTGACACAGGCAGTACGTCCGGGACACGGTTGTGGGCAGCATGGGCCTGAAGGCCACAGGTCGGCTCTGCACCGTGGCTAAGGCGAGGGGGCTGCGGGCCTGCAGGTGAGCGACCCTGCCCGTGCCCTGGGCTACAGGGGAGGCTACGAGGCCCCTTTGGACTCTTCCCGGCTTCCTCATTGCAGGGGGGAGCTGAGGGACACCATCCTAGACTGGGAGGACTCCCTACCGGACCGGGACCTGGCGCTTGCCGATGAGGCCAGCAGGTCTGACCGCCCCCAGGGAGCCCACAGGGGAGCGGGCTGGGGAGATGGCAGAAACACAGCCAGCTCCAGTAACGGGGGCAGGAGCTCCAGCTCAGAGGCAGTCAGGGGGTGCTTCCTGGAGGAGGTGGGCCACACCAGGGACTGCACACACACACACACACACACACACACACATACACACTCTCTCCTCACTATGGTTCTGGGTGGATGCTGCACAAAGAAACGGAGGCTTCAGCCACACGACTCCTCTAGCCAGTGCTGCCCAGCCAGGAGGAGACTGAGCCAGGGACCCACCCTAGGGTTCCAAGCTGTCGCCACACTGCCATTCTCCCCAGAAGGATCAATGACCCTGCTGGCAGGCAGCAGAGGAGAGGGGGTGGGATCCTGAAGGCTGGCTCTGCAGTGGGGCCAGCCTTGACTGCCCGGGTGAGCACAGAGGGCCTAGGTGTGAGCTGGACCCCATGGCCAGCTCGGGATGTTGGCCAGAGCGGGGCTGGAGAGGGGATCAGACTCAGCCCACGCTCCCCGGCCCCAGGAACGCCGACCTGTCCATCACCCTGGGTACGTCGCTGCAGATCCGACCCAGTGGGAATCTGCCGCTGGCCACCAAGCGCCGGGGAGGCCGCCTGGTCATCGTCAACCTGCAGCCCACCAAGCACGTAGGTGTCTGAGCCCACCCCTGCCCAGGGCCCCCATGTGCCCTCTGCCCCCGACGCCTGACCCATCCCAACTCCCGGCAGGACCGTCATGCCGACCTCCGCATCCATGGCTACGTCGACGAAGTCATGACCCGGCTCATGAAGCACCTCGGGTTGGAGATCCCCGCCTGGGACGGCCCCCGTGTGCTGGAGAGGGCGCTGCCGCCCCTGCCCCGCCCACCTGCCCCCAAGCTGGAGTCCAAGGAGGAATCCCCCACCCGGATCAACGGCTCTGTCCCCGCCAGCCCCAAGCAGGAGCCCTGTGCCCAGCACAACGGCTCAGAGCCCGACAGCCCCAAACGGGAGCGGCCCGCCAGCCCTGCACCCCACAGACCCCCAAAAAGAGTGAAGGCTGAGGCGGTCCCCAGCTGACCAGGGTGCTCGGGGAGGGCGGGGCTTTTTGTAGAAACCGTGGATTCTTTTTCTCTCGTGGTCTCACTTTGTTACTTGTTTCTTTCCCCGGGAACCTCAGGGCTCTGAGAGCTGCGCTCCAGGGGTCACACCTGCCCTCCAAGGTCTCTCCCTGGGCTCCAGGAAGAAACCACACCCCGGGGCTGACAGCTAAGCCCCTGCTATACCCCAGCCTCTGACTCAGGGTGTTGTTGGGAGGTGTGGCTGGGCCCTCCCTGGTCTCCAGTCTAAACAGGACTGACCTCCCTCTGCCCCCAGGGCTTCCCCTCTGGGCCCCCCACACCCCACCCACCTCTCCTCCACCGGCCTTGCAGGAGGGGAGACCCACTTCAAAGTGGGGGACACACCAGAGGCTGGCATTGCCTTTGGAGCTGGAGGGAGGGAGACGTTGGTCCACCAGGCTTCTGGAAAAGTCTTCAATGCAATAAAAACTGAACTTCCTTCTTGCATCTCAGAATCGTTCTTTTTTTTGAGTTGGAGCCTTGCTCTGTCACCAAGGTTGGAATGCAGTGGTGTGATCTCAGCTCACTGCAGCCTTCACCTCCTGGGATTCTCCTGCCTCAGCCTCCTGAGTAGCTGGGTTTATAGGTGCTCGCCATCACACCCAGCTAGTTGTTTGCATTTTTGTAGAGACAGGGTCTCACTATGTGGCCCAGGCTGGTCTTGAACTCCTGGGCTCAAGCAGTCAGGCCACCTTGGCCTCCCAAAGTGTTGGACTTACGGGCGTGAGCCACTGCATCCAGTAAGTGTTTAAATTCCAAATTTGTGGCAGGTCCTTGCCCTCCCGGGTCAGGAGTTCGTGGTTCCCTCCTCCCTGGACCATCTGCCTGTGCTCCGTTGCAATCCCTGCCCCTCAAGCCCAGGGTGGGGAACAAGGGCTTCCCTATCCCCCACCCCCACCTCTGGAGGGATCAGGCCAGCTTTATGATGATGAAGCCCATACAGCAGCTAGCATTTTCTGAGCACCCAGTCTGTAGTTACACACTTACGAGCAAGACTTTTTCTTGTTTCACATTTGCCCCAGGCTGTGAGCCGCCTTCTGTCCTTTGGCGCGCACAACCCACAGTGGGGGCAACGCGGCAGAAGAGCGCAGGCGCAGCCAGGTTCCACCCTCCCCAGCTGTGACCTTGGGGAGTCCCTCCACTTCTGAAGCCTCCGTATCCTGACCCACAAAACGAGCAGGGTGGGCCGCCCAGATCCCCAGGAAGGCAGCTGCCTTCCCCGCAAGCCAGGCGCTCACACCCTGGAAGCACCTCCCGGGCTCCCCGCGCTCGGCCCGCCGCCGCTCTCCAAGGTGCTGAAGCCGCGCCTGGCACCTCTCCCGCCGCTGTTCCCGCGCGGGGATCTGGCGGCGGCGTGGAGCCCACACCTCACTCCCCTATCCCAGGCTGGCCCAACCCCTCATTCTAGGGAGTGGGGGAGCCCCCAGACTCCGCCTCCACCCCAAAACATGGTTCTGTCAAAATACTTTATTTGGGATTGGGCAGTCTTAGAAAAGGGGGGTGATGGTGAGTCGTGGCTGCTCCGAAGACCAGGGCGTACCTGGGGCTCCAGAGCCAGGGTCCCTGCAGTCTCGGCGGCTTCCTCCTCCCAGTGTGCGAGGGAGGCCCGAAGGGGTCCCTGGGCGGGGAGTTGCTGGGCATCTGTCTGTCCATCCGGGTCTGTTTCAGGCTGCGTCTGTCTGTCCACACCCGTTTCAGGCTATCTGTCTGTCTGTCTGTCTGTGCTGGTCTGTTTCAGGCTGTGTCTGTCTGTCCACATCCACTTCAGGCTATCTGTCTGTCTGTCTGTCTGTGCTGGTCTGTTTCAGGCTGTGTCTGTCTGTCCATCCACATCTGTTTCAGGCTGTCGGTCTGTCTGTGCGGGTCTGTTTGAGGATGTATCTGTCTGTGTCTGTCTCAGGCAGTGTCTATCTGTCCGTCTGTCTGTCCGGGTCTTTTTCAGGCTGTGTGTCTACTCATTGCTTCTGCGCCTGGCTCTGTGTGTATTTCCTGGGCCCCATGGCCCTCTCTTTGTCGGTGTCTGAGTTTCAGTTCCTGCGTGGGCCTCAGTCAGGCCCTGGGTGTGTGGTTGTGAGCTGTGCCTCCCCATCCTGGCGTGTCTGCCGGGGTCTCAGCCTCACCTCCCATCCCCAGGTGGGTCACCGTCCAGCGCAGCACCCCCAAGGCATCCCTGGGCAGAGGGGCCTGGGAGCACAGTCCTGATGGGGCTCACAGCTCATCCCCCACCGCCTCCAGCCCTGCATGTCCTGAGCCAGTACTTGGCCCAGGTGCCACCCAGTCTAGCTGGGCAACCTCGCCCAGCCCCTCCGTCTCGTTCCTCAGGACCAGGCTGGCATTGTCCAGCTCCTCCATCGAATTGGTCAGGTCCACGGTGTCCTGGAAGCCCCAGGCTGCCCTGGGGCTGCCTGGAGACCCTTCTTTGGGTTTCTCAGCCTCTGGTCGGGGTCCGGGGGCCTCAGAGCCCAGCAGAGCATCAGGGGCCACGCGGGAGGCAGCATCATTGTGCAAAGTTCTGGAGAAGACTGATAGGGGAAGGGGCGTGTCATAGGAGACAAGGTGAAGGTGCAGTCCTGTGCTCCTTTCCCTGGCTCCAGTCTCAGGGAATGGGGAACAGGGGTCTTCTCCCCCTCCCTCAGAGGCCCCGGATGGGGACTTAGGGAAGCCAGACAAAGGTTTCAAAGGTAGGGATCCCCTACCTCGCACAGGTGCAAAGTCCCCAGGGCTCTTGACTTTGTTGGAGGCAAAAGGGCTGATGGAGGGGAGGATGATGAGGGCGAAGGACAGTAACAGGACCTGGGGGAGACAGCAGCAGGGTCACCCCCTCCCTACCGTCCCCTGCAAGCACCTTCATCCCACAGGCAGGGAAACTGAGGCCCCAAAGACAAGACTGAATCATACTTGAGCTGGGACATGAGGGGAGCTTGGACACACTGTCACCTCCCCATGGGCACATCTGCCAAAGCCTAGGTCCCCGGCTTTCCTGGGGGTGCCAGGACTCACTGCGATGCAGGTCCCTGTCTGGGCTGACTTGCTGGTGGACTGCACCACGATGGCCTGGAGTTTCTTCAGCTGCTCCAAGAGGGACCTTAGAGGGACAGGCAGGCCACTGCTACGCCCTGCAGGACCTCAGTCCTCCTACTCTTTCAAGGGCCTCCTACTCTTTATTTTTTATTTATTTTTGAGACAGAGTCTTGCTCTGCTGCCCAGGCTGGAGTGCAGTGGCACAACCTCCGTCTCCCTGGTTCAAGTGATTCTCCTGCCTCAGCCTCCCAAGTAGCTGGGACTACATGCATGCAAAACCACACCCGGCTAATTTTCTGTATTTTTAGTAAAGACGGGGTTTCGCTGTGTTAGCTGGGATGGTCTCGATCTCCTGACCTCATGATCTCCCCGCCTTGACCTCCTAAAGTGCTGGGATTACAGGCATGAGCCACCATGCCCAGCCTTTATTTTTTATTTATTTATTTTTGAGACAGTCTTGTTCTGTCACCCAGGCTGGAGTGCAGTGGCGCAGTCTCGGCTCACTGCATCCTCCACCTCCCAGGTTCAAGCGATTCTCCTGCCTCAGCCTGATGAGTGGCTATAGCTGGGATTACAGGCACGTATCACCACACCCACCTAATTTTTGTATTTTTAGTAGAGACGGGGTTTCACCATGTTGGCCAGGCTGGTTTCAAACTCCTGACCTCAGGGGATTCGCCCTCCTTGGCCTCCCAAAGTGCTGGGATGACAGGCGTGAACCACCGCGCCCGGCTCAGATGGAACTCATTCCCTACTTGGTTCTGCCGTCAGGTAGGCTCTCTGCTCTTCCTGCAAGGGACTCCGGGTTGCTTCCCGGTCCTCTGCCCTGGAGGAACCCAGACTCACAGATTTTGCTTCTCAAGATGCAAGACCTTCCTCTGTAACTCCTGATTCTGAGCAGTGCAAGCTGACATCCTGAAAGGACAAAGATGATACAGCGACATTCAGAACACACCAGTCACCGGCTGCCCCCATTGACCTCTCCCGGGGAGGCCTCACATTACTAGCAAGGAACACAAGCCCAGAGAGGGGATATCATTCATCCAACGTTACTTTGCATGTCAGACGGGGCCAGGATTTGAACCCATATCTGCCTGGTTCCTAAGTTCCATCTCTGCATTAATGTTTATTAATGCTCATTCAAAGTTGAGCCCCCTGGCCGGGCACGGTGATTCATGCCCATAATCCCAGCACTTTGGGAGCCCAAGGCGGGCAGATCACAAGGTCAGGAGTTCAAGATCAGCCTAACCAATATAGTGAAACTCCATCTCTACTACAAAATAAAAATAAAAATAAGCTGGGTGTAGTGGCACATGCCTGTAATCCCAGCTACTCAGGAAGCCTAGGCAGGAGAGTTGCTTAAACCCAGGAGGCGGAGGTTGCAGTGAGCAGAGATTGCACAACTGCACTCCAGCCTAGGCAACAGAACAAAACTCCCTCTCAAAAAAAAAAAAAGGCCAGCTCAGTGGTCACATCTGTAGTCCCCACATTTTGGGAGGCCAAGACGGGCAGATCACGAGGCCAGGAGAGCGAGACCATCCTGGCCAACAGGGTGAAACCCCATCTCTACTAAAAATATACAAAAAAAAAAAAAATTAGCCAGGCATGGTGGTAGACGCCTGGTAACTCCAGCTACTGGGGATGCTGAGGCACATGAATCACTTGAACCTGGGAGGCGGAAGTTGCAGTGAGCTGAGATCACACCGCTGTACTCAAGGCTGGCCACAGAGCAAGACTCCATCTCAAAACAAAACAAAAAAAACCAACAAAATTAGTGGGGCATGGTGGGGCATGTCTGTAATCCCAGCTACTGGGGAGGCTGAGGCCAGAGAATTGCTTGGACCCGGGAAGCAGACGTTGCAGTGACCTGAGATTTGCCGTCGCATTCCAGCCTGGGCAACGAGAATGAAACACTGTCTCAAAAGAAAAGAAAAAAGCTGAATCCCCTGGATCTGGAATGGAATGCCAAACACAGGCAGTGACATTTCCAGAAAACGGAATATCGGGACACTGAGGCATCCTGGGAAATCCAAGTTACCACCCTCCCCCTGCCCATGACCTTTGGCCCAGCCACTTCCCCTTCATCTTCCCGTCAGTAAAATAAGATACAATTACCCAGGAGGTGGGGAGGTGGGGAGAGAATGACCCTGGGTAAAGATGATCAGGAGCTGAGCAGATCGCATTTAAGAAACAGGACAGCTAGCTGGGAATGGTGGTTCATGCCTGTAATCCCAGCACCTTGGGAGGTCGAGGCAGGTGGATCACCTCAGGTGAGGTGTTCGAGACCACCTTGGCCAACATGGTGAAACCCATCTCTACTAAAAGAACAAAAATTAGCCAGGTATGTTGGCAGGTGCCTGCAATCCCAGCTACTCAGGGGGCTGAGGCAAGAGAATTGCTTGAACCTGGAAGGCAGAGGTTGTAGT